ACATAGTAATTTGTTCTTGTTGTTGATGACTCAGTATTAAAGGATAGCGGGACGGTACTGAAGGAAAGAGATAGGTTGACTGTGTCCACCAGAAGTGCTAAAAGAGTGGGAGTTGGGGTCAATAATTGAGTGGGGATGAGGTCGAGGGAGCAGGTAGTAGGTTTCATCCGATTGAAGAGGGGTTTGAAGGATAAGGTAGAAATGGGGTGGAGGATGAATTTTGGAAGGGAGTAGTAGTTGCGGCAGTAGAGGGGGAACTAGGAGTTCTGGGATGGGGGTGGGAGGGGTGGGGTGGAAAGTGGAAGTAGCCAAGCGGATGTTGTCTATTTTCAATATGAGGAAGTCTATTTGCATTTGGCATTCAAGGTGAGGATGGAGGGTGCTTAAAAAGGGGCATGGAAGAGTTGATGTGTGGTGGGTGAATGATTAATTTGGAAGACTGTTGCCAGGACCCCAGGAGAAACTCTCTTTCGAAAAGTGTTATGGAGTCTTTAATGCACAACAAGCAGAAATAATCTTGCTTTAACCTCTCATCTGAAATACAGCATCTCCCACAATGCAGTTCTTTCCCAGTCCCTCCAGAACCTACTACTGCCAGAGGTGACACTACTTCCAACTGAGCCGCACTGACAATTCTATAGTCAATAATCCCTCAAGAAAAAAAATAAATAAATTGGTCACTTCAATCCATGACTGTTTGTGGAACACTGCTGTGTGCAATTTGGCTGCCGCGTTTCGCCCACAAATATATGGTCAATTCACTTTACAGTATATTTTGTGAAGCGCTTTGAGACATCTAGAAGACGAGAAAAGCGCTATATCAAATGCAAGGATTATTTTTATATTATTATTTACAATACAGAGGAAGGCCATTCAGCCCATTGTGTTTGCAATGGCTCTTTGAAAGTGAAATACATTCAGTTCCACTTGCCTGTTTTTTCCCCCATAAACTCACGGTTCGATGTAACTCACCCATGAAACATCCCAAGTGAATCTGTTGACACATGTGTCTCATCATTTTATAAGCCTGATCCTTTTAACTTCCAGGAAGTTTCTTTCAAAACACATTTTAGTTTCTTGTTCCACCACCTGAGTTATAATAATATAATCCTTGCATTTCATATAGCGCTTTTCACGTCGGGAGGACGTCCCAAAGCGCTTGTTAGTACAGTAGTTTTTTTTTCTTGAGCTTGTCACCGTTTCACTAAAAGATTTCTCTGCTCATCCTTTTTGGAATAAAATAGAATAAAAATGCCCCTATAACCAGCACAATGTTAAGACTCGTTTTGGTTCATGAATGAGCTTGGCCCCTAAACATTCACTCCCTTATTGTTTTGTATTCTGTGTTGAATTATAATGTACTGATACAATGTGCAGATTGCCATCTGAATATGTTATCATTATGAAACCTGCACATCACAGGCCAAGATTTGTATCTCATGCTCCTGACAGATCAGGATTGACATATTTTAAAATAAAACTTGGAGACTGCTCTGTTACAAGTTAAAACAAAACAAGATGTGCTTGTTAATGCGTATAAGAACTTAGAAGAGCATTGGATGACAAATGGCCATTTATTTAATCAAACCTGACCCGTTTTACAGACTATGCATTCTCTACCCTATCATGGACTCTACTCCACTTATTTAATTTTCCGAGAGAACAATCTACAAAATTTATCGCTGAGCCCAAAGGCTTCCACACATATTTGACTATTATTATTTACCCCGACCAACAGCTGCATTTCACAAATGTCCTCCTTATTCACAGCAGTAAAGGAATCATTGTTCTCATGGAGTATTTAGATGTCATTCCATCCTAACCACAGAAATTTACAATGCAGAAGAAGGCCATCAGCTCATCATGTCTGTGTAGCTCTTTTAAGAGCAATCCTTTCATTGTTCATAAGAACTTAAGAACATAAGAATTGCTAGACGAAAATAGATCAAGGTCCATCTAGTTCGCCTTCCACCTTCCTGGTGGTCGCCTGCACATATGTCCCAAACTGTATTTATCCAGTTTATCAGTTTTATTGGCTGAGAAACTGATATTTGAACCTGGTTTGCAGACTTGGTAAATTGCACAGCATGGCATTCCTCCAACTTGGAGTATCCTCTGTGCTTGCAGGGCTGTGAACACGTCGAGGTGTACTGTTCCAAGTACCAGTACAGTGTGGATCCCTGCACACCTGCCTATCTTCACTAATTGCACCATTTCAGAGGCAGTTCAACCACAGAGATCCACTGCTTGCCTCCCGTATGACATATTCATTTTATTCTGAGCATTTCGTAATATTCTTTAAAAATAAATACTGGAGGTCAGAATTGGGACATTTTCCCATAGGACAAAGAAGGTTGAGGGGTGACCTGATAGAGCTCTTTAAAATTATGACGGGATTTGATAGAGCCAATAGGGAGAAATTATTTCCACTGGTCAGTGAGTTAGTAACTAGAGGGCATCAATTTAAGATAGTTAGTAAATAAGAAAATGGGGAGGTTAGGAGAATTGATCTCACGCATAGAGTACTTAAGGTATGGAATGCCATGCCGGGAGCTGAGGTTGAGACAGAATCTATATTAGCTTTCAAGAGGGAACTAGACAAATAGCTTAAAAAAACTCAGCTACAGGAGTACAGAGAAAGGACAAGTAAATGACTGAAAGGATTGCTCTTGAAGGAGACGCATTGGGCTGAACACCCTTCTTCTGTGCCATAAATTTCGATAATAAAAAACAAAATAAAAGCCTTGCTTCAAAATGGGCATTGGAACCCAGGGGCCTCTGAGAAAAATGAATAACTTCTTTTAAAAAAAACTGAATAAAGAACTGTGCTGTATGATTCTCTGATTCTATGATATACAGTGAAGTGCTTTGAGAGGTCTCAGAGACGTGTTAAGGTGCTATATCAAGTGCAAGGATTATTATTATAGTGAGGACTCCTTATATAACTAGGTAGATAGGAATACAATAGTTTCAACAGCAAAAGGCCCAGAAAAGGTTCCTGTGGATCTTCACTAGAACCCTGTCCACCAATTTAGTTATTTCATCAAAGAAATACAGGAAATTTTGATTTATTGACAATTTATTGAGTTTAAAACCATGATGGCATTCTCTTAAGTCACCTCTGTATTCGAACTAGATTCTCTCAATGTAACTGAGGTACAAATGACTATTGACGTTCATACTCCTAACGTTGATGAGATCCAAGAAGTTCAGGATAAAAGGTAGTTTTGTTGAGAAGTGAAGAGTGTGTTTCTCTTCACTTAGCTACAGCCCATAAATCAGAGGAGTCTTTGTCACCACATCCAAGATGAGTCAGTTAAGAATTTGTTTCTAAAAGGTCTGAAAAAAGCCTTTTAGTAACAAGTAGTTTAGTTTATCAGCTTCCCAGGGATTGAACAAATGGCCTGGAATGTGTTTTCTCTCTCTCCCTCTCTCTCTCTCTCCCTGAAGCTGACTTACTGGACTCCTGTGCCTGAGTTGAATACGTTTTTTGAATGTTGCGGTTGTCCTAAATTGACATTTGTCACCCTTTTTAAACCCGGGCTGTGAGACTGGAGTACAAGTGGAGGATTTATGTCTTGCCCCAAATAAAGGAAAAAATGCAGGGCTATGATTGTGAAGTTTGGTCCTCAAGAGTCAAAGATAGCCAGAACCAATTCAAAGGCCACTTCATATGGCCTTTGGCAGCTTGAAATGCTCTACAATTTTCAACTGAACACAAAAGGTTCTTCCCATTTGACCATTGACTGTAAATACCATTGAGACTTGAGTTACTGACTGCCTTGTGAGGAAGTCTGCAGATAACCTAGATTGCAATAGTAAGTATAATGACTAAAAATCCTATAATTATGCAGAGGCCAACAGGAATTCATGGTCTTCAGAAAGTTTTCTTTATTCTAAGGATTTTTCTCTATGAAATCCCAAAAGTGCTGCCATTGGATTAATGCAGGTCGAAGGACTTAAAATCCACACCTAACACCAAATTTGTGTAACCTACTCAAGGAAATTGGTCACTCACTCTGTGTTTTGCCCACAAAATACAGAGTCAATCCACTTTACATCCTGTGACAAGCCCTGCTTGTCGGCCTTCCCAACTCCTCCCTCCACAGGCTGCAGATAATCCAGAACTCTGCAGACCGTGTCCTCTTTGTACCAAACTCCGTGACCCCATCTCCCCCATTCTCGCCCGATTCCACTGGCTCCCTATACTTCAGAGGATCGAGTTCAAGATCCTGGTCCTCACATACAAAGCCCTCCATGGCCTCGTCCCACCCTACCTCTGTAACCTCCAACCCCCTACCAACCCGCCCGTTCCCTCCGCTCAGCCGGCTCTGGCCTGCTCCACGTCCCCCGACCCACCCGCCCCACTATTGGCGGAAGAGCCTTCAGCCACTCTGCCCCAACCTCTGGAATTCCATCCCCCAATCACTCCGCCTCGCCCCCTCCTAAGCCTCCTTCAAGTCCTGCCTCAAGACCCTCCTCTTCGACCATGCCATTGGCCACCACCCTTCCCCTCCCCTCCCTTCTCCCCCCCCGACACCAGCTCGGGTCTGAAATGCTGTACTCTGTCCAGCGCCCTGGGACGTTCTCCCAACGTGAAAGGCGCTGTACAAATGTAATCTTGTTGTTGTTGTTATGAAGCACTTTGAAACGTCTCGCCAGCGCTATATCAAATGCAAGAATTATTATTATTATTTATGATAGGAAGTGATGAAATGTGGGACTGTTTGATTACAAAATGTACAGTCACTACACTCTGCAGTAAATACTGTGAAGATCTTTGAGACATCCTCCCAACGTGAAAGACACTATGTCAAGTGAAAGGATTATTATTATAACTATATGTGGTTGTTGGGCACCTTGAAAAGCAGAATGAAGGTACTGGGAATGCCTTACTCTAACATTTGTGCAAAGCTACAAATAATCTGTTTACATTTCCTGTCTGACTCGGTGCAATTCTGTATACAACATAATAAACTCTCAATTTCCTCTCTTTCTAGTCAGGTTTGATAAGGACGGCAGAAGCGGATTACTTTCTGACACCGCTACCTCAGCACCTCGCACTTAAACATAATTACACAGCCCCGGAAGGGCACCATCCTCATGTCCTTTACAAGAGATCAGCAGAGCCCAAAGTTCATCTGCACAACAATGAGGTAACCATGAGCCAAAAGCAGGCGGGTGCTGGACGTCACAGCCTTAAATACAATCACCAACATCGACGGCGGAATGACTACAAACATGGACGGCTTCAAAAGCAGCACTTCTGCGGGAGGCGCAAGAAATGTATGTAAGGGAATTCTTTTATTCTCTCAGTAATCTTTTTGCCTATTTAAAAAGAATATTGTGCATAAGTCATGAATTGTCAGAATATTTGCAAAGACAGTCAGCTCGTGGAAGGATTCAGGTATAACATAAAGTGAAGTTTAAGTTTGGGATTATCGCCTGTGACCCGAAAAAAACGCCTAGTCTTACCCTGTAAAATCATCTTTTAAAGTTTATGTGCACACTGAATTGAGAGAAGCTGGAAATGTGGTTTGACCTGACCTGTATGGAACACGTATTTAATTTCAGATTTGAAACCCTAAACTGCTTTTTTTTTAACCTAAATCCTCAAAGTGAAACGTGTACTTTTATTAGTCATCCAAGACCATGTGCATTACTACTGTTGTCTACTTATTTCTTGAAGTTGTGACATTGTTAAAAGATCGGAAGCTATTTGTGGAGTTTTCCTATTGTAGATTAGAGGCTGTCAATCTGGGAAGCCATCAAACACAAGCATTTCTGTAAATAACAGCATTGTAACAAGTAGACACTGTTTGTACTTTATATCAGCCCTGGAAAAAATACACAGGAACATCCTTGGCTGTTTTATGATCAAAAACACATGTCTCATTTTTGAAGCAATTGAAGAAAAGATTCAGCATAGCCTTCAGTTCCACATCTCCAGCACCCAACCCTTGTCCCCTTCCTGCCAGACAGCATTCTGACTCTTTCATACACCCTCCCTACCAGCAATTCGGAAATATTGTTTTTGCATGAGGTTGCATCTAACCCTACAGTACTCTCACCCACCTGTACAGATACGTATTTAACTATTTACTCAAAAGTAAATTAACGACTGGAACAGGTTGCCAGGAAGGATGGTTGAGGCCAGGACACTGGAATTATTTAAAAAGCAGCTTGATGCTGTAATGTGGGGACAGTAGGGATGTTATTCTGGAGGGATGAGATCAAATGGGTTGAAGGGGTTTCTTCATCCAAATCAATCTTGTAATCTTGAGGACTGCTTTCAATGTGCGTCTCTTTCCTATATCCCACAATCTCTCTGAGAAGCAGGAATTTCTTAGCTGAAGCTTTTCCATTTGAAAGCTCTGTCCTTTACTTCTGTTTTCATAATCTGTCATGTTTACTTGATTAACTGTACTTCATGTGTGCTACTTGCCAATTTAAAGGCCTGGATCTTGAACTCTTTTTGATCATTATTTTTCTAACAAGTTTAGCTAGCTCTCCTTGTAACTTGGCCTCCAAATCATTCTTGTTCATTTTGGCTGCACCCTTTCTAACACTTTAAATCCTCCCATTGAAGTGGACAGTCCAAACCTACACAAAATGAAGGCTGACAAGCACTTGTTAGGAAAGCAGCATCATAAATAGCGCCTAACACTGAAAAAAAAGCACTTCTGAATTTACAGTGTCTCCCACAGAGCTCCCATGGATATCACATTGATGTGGGAGACCTCAGCTTTGATCTGAGATCTAGTTGAATCCAGAGTCTTGCAGGCACATGAGCTTCCAGAGAAGTCACACTTTACATCCACCTAAGCTACTGTTTTCCTAATGAATGCTTTTTAACGCCCAATATTCCAGTTGTGTGCTCAGCCGTGATCGACAAAAGGAATAACGTCTTTCATTTTGGTCAAATATAATCAGTGTTTGTTGCCATCAGCCTCTCATTGTCGGCAAACCTTCAGTGAATGAAGAGGCCAATCATTTTTTCTTTTCACCTCTGCTAATGCGAGCCGTTATCCTAAAGCTTGACTTGTGGGAAGATGTCCTTGCACTATTTTAAGGAAGGCCAGGGGTTTAGCTTGGAATTCTGGCCAACAATCCTCCCTCATCCAAATTCATCTGAAAAAAATCAGAATATGGTAATTTGGGATGTGGCTGACATAGATTAGCTGCTAAATGTTCCTCACATAGCTATGGGTATCACACTAAGAAGAAACTCTTTAAGTGTGATTCAACAAAAGTTGGTACATTTTTGGAACTTGCCAGACGATCTTAATCTTACAGCTGGCCTCTTTGTCAATGTTATCTTGTTGTGGGATTTTCTGCTCTGTCTGCAAAGTGTACTAATACATCATTAATTTACCATAACAGTTTTGGCTCTGCTTCTCAGGACATGAAATATTTCTATTTCATTCCTCTCCTCCCATTGTTTGTCGAGCTCCTTGTGACTGTCGAGGAACTCTTATTTATGGGGGAACCATCATACACAATGATCCCCAGAGTTTACATAACCTATTTATCATTGAAAATATGCTTTTTTAATTATCACTCCTTCTGTTCTAATTTAATATGAGGAACACACTTGATATATTTCCACGCTGTTTTAAGTGCAATTGTAACAGCAAAAGAGCATCTGAATGTCCATTCCTGATCCCGAGACAATACCAAATTGCATTTATATTGCGCACTTCACGCAGGGTAGTGTCTCGGAGCTCTTAACAGTGGCGGAGCCTAACGCTGAGCCGGGGAGGGAGCAAGTCCCAGTAAAACCATAAGGAAGGTCTTCAGGTGTGATCTGAAAATGGGGAAGGAGGGGCAAGGCGGAGGGATTGAGGGAGAGAGTTCCAAAGCTTTGGGCATGGTGGCTGAAAGCTTGGCCATCGGTGGTGTACTGGAGGGGATGAGCAACAAGCAGGAGGCCAGAGCTAGTTGAGCGGAGGCAGTAACTAGTGGAATGGTGAGTAAGCAGATCGGAGAGGTAGGGAGGTGCCAGGGCATGAAAGGATTTGTAGACAAGTCTGAGGATCTTGAAGTCGATCCGTTCTGTCATAAGGAGCCATTTTCACTATTGGGTGTGAGGTGCGGTCAGAGGTGAGCACGAGAACAGTTGCATACTTTCAGGTCATTTGCCAGAAAACAGGTTTAAGTGCAGTCACCCACCATGTTTTGCACAAGATGTCACACTAAAATTGCTGTGTAGAATTAAAAGACATACAGGTATCTAAACTGTGAACTCTGTAAACTTCTGCCATGCTGTATATCTGCAGGTTATAGTGAAATTTGAAGAGTAAACTTCAAATCTCAAGAGAATGTAATAAACTCATGTGGTGAATTTATCACATTCTCTTGGCAACAACCCAGTTTGAAAAAATGTGCACAGTTATGTTCTTTTGGCTGAAATCCTAACCATTGGCAGTACATCTTTAAGACGATGTGCACAGATCAGACAGTCTCAACTCTTGACCACAAGGAAGAAACCTAAGGTGCATTTCTGCTGATTCATATTGATTGACAGTATTATAGGCTTACGCCAACACTTTTAGCACTGTTACCAACCAGCGGAAATCTCTCCACTCTCACCAAGTTTAAGGTGCACAACTTTCACAAATTCAAAGCAATTCCATTAACAATAAATAACAATACTTTTATTTGGTATAGCACCTTTCATGCCAGGAAGACGTCCCAAAGCGCATCACAGGATATAAACTGACTGTGTGTTTTTGTGGGCGAACGCAACAACAACAAGAAGATTAACGCAAGGACGTCCCAGGGCGCTGGACAGTGTACAGCATTTCAGACCCGAGCTGGGGTCGGGGGTGGGGAAGGAAGGGGAGGGGTAGGGGGGTGGCCGATGGCATGGTCAAAGTGGAGGGACTTGAAGGAGGCTAAGGAGGGGGCGAGGCGGAGTGACTGAGGGATGGAATTCCAGAGGTTGGGGGCAGAGTGGCTGAAGGCTCTCCCGCCAATGGTGATCCTGCAGTAGTCAATTTGCACACAGCAATATTCTGCAAACAACCATGAAGTTACTGACCAATTTTATTTGGGGGATTGTTGGCTAGGACAACAGGAAAAACTTCCTTCTCTTTTCGAATAATGCCATGGAATCTTTAATATGCACAGGCAGACAGGGCCTTGGTTTAATGTCTCATCTGAAGGACAGCGCCTCCAACAATGCCGCACTCCCAGTACTAGCGTAACAGCTTAGATTGTACGAGTTCCAAGTCCTGACGCGGGGCTTGAACCCTCAAACTTCTGACTCAGAGGCAAGAGTGCTACCAAATGAGCCAGGCTAACACTTGCAGAAGAAGGCCTTTCAGACTATCATACCTGTTTGCTGTTAGCTGCCCACTGGAACAATTGGCACTATTCCCATTTGTCTGCTTTTTCTCCTTTCTGCCTGAAACTGATGGTCATTATCATTGGAGCAAAATATAGCACTTGCACATTTCATACACCTGTGAAGAGAGGGAGTGTGTATGTGTGTGTGTGAGAGAGAGAGAGAGAGCAAAAGAGAATTGGTGTGAAAGTAACATCCCAGGAGGGAACTGCTTTAGGTTTCTTTCATGAGCTCAGGAAATAATTTGGATTGACAGTGTTTCTCTCACTCTGTTCAAAGAAAACATTCCCCTTTATTAATGTGGGCCCACATTGATTTTTGTATCGGCACAAAATAGATAGCAATTGTTGTCAACAGATCCCAAACCAATGAAGAGGTAGTGTTTTTCAGATCTTAGCCGCCTTTCCTGGAACCTGCTTCTGCGATAAACTCAAGCAGAAAGACATGCAAGAGTGGCATGGAGCTAGGATGTATTAACACAGAGAGGAGGCCCCAGGATGCACTCATGAGGCCAGCAGCAACCTGTCTTTCAAGATCAAAGGAATGAAAAGATTCTGGAACCTCTTAACAGCCACATGAGTGAGGTGGTGTCAGTGATAGATGGAATTAAAGCATCCTTGATAGCAGTGGTTCAAAGAATTCTCTGACAGAGGAATTTGTGTCAGTGCTTTAAGACTGCGGAATTAGAGAAGACGGTCAAGTGCAGCAGCTGGAAAAGCTGGTACTTTTCAGGATAGAGGATCTTGTAAAGTTAAGAACGAAGCCGTACTTTATGATTTTTAAACCAGTTTTTACTGCAACTTGATCTCGAGATGAAAACAAACAGAATTGGGAAAACACCAGAATATATGAGAACAAAGTTCAAAGAATTTGCCAACATGCTTTGTGCTTCTAAATGGTTTCTCTTCTTTATGCCTCTATCTCTTTTGAAGTGATACTAGGATTTGGATCTGAGTTGTTTGTTTGGCCACCGGACACTTTATGTCTGGTGTAGCAAGATCAAAGCAACCGTTTATAATGAGATAGTTTACCTAATGTTAGGTCCTGGAGGCTGAAAGTAGCTTTGCCGAATTGGCTTTGTTTTTAATTTCTGGGGAATTCAGACCCATATCAGTGGGGAAGATTGATTCCCGTAGGACCAGAAGTGGGTGGTTCTGGAGCAACAGCATTTCCCATTTGGCACCTCATATTGCTGAGCTTTTGCTTAAGCACAATAGGCTTAGTTTCATTGCAATCTCACCCACTGATTTCAATGGTCTTATTTCATATTCTACCAGGCTTGTTGACCAACATGCCACTGTGAAACACTTAACATTAAATGCTCCTATGTGCAGTTACTTTCCTTTTTGTTGGAAAACATGCAGACTGTTTTGCACTCAGCACAGACCCACAAACAGCCATGAGGTGAATGACCAATTAATTTGAAGGATTGTTGGCCTCGACACTAGGAGATACTCTCTTCTATTTTTGAACAATGATGCAGAGAAGAGAGAGAGTCCTACCAAATGAGCCAGATTGGCATAGAAGTTACTGGTGACAGCGCTTGAGGATCTTCATCTGTTTAGTTTGTTTCAATAGAGAATTGTCTCTCTTTACTGTTGTTTTCCTGCTCTGGCTCACTCGTATTCTCTCCATGTAGATATTATAGCAAAACAGTGGAAAACTACACATTTTGCTCCTTTTCTCTAGGCTCAAACAGCAGATTGATAAAGAGCCAAATAAAAATCATCCATTGGTTGCTTTATTACATTTCAGTGCATTCGCATCAATCCCGGATTGTTCTTGGAGGAACTTTGGTGGCATCAATGGCTTATTCCCATATTATCTGGTCTTTTGGGTCTCTTGGTTAGCTAGATCAGGGATTGATGTTTCAAATGATTAGATGTGTCATAGAGCTACTGTGGACTTTAGTGGTTATATAGATCAGCGAGTCAATCTGGGGCTCGGTGGTTAGATTCAGATGTTCTGAGAGTTGAGATCAGATTGGCTAAAGGGCCTTCTTCATCCAACCAATCTTGTGATTCTGTGAGATAGATCGGGAGTGAATATGGTCCACGGTGCGTAGATTGATCAAGGCAATGAAGAAATTAACACTGAGCTCAACCCTCTTGTTGACTTGACGTGTAAATGTAGAGTCATCAGATTATAAATATGAATTTAAATATACTACATAGGTATGTCTATATTCCTGTACACAAGCTAGCACTGTGGTTTTGAATCATGACATTAGAGGCTGCTTATACGTTAGGCATTTTATTTTGTGGTCATCTGCTGAATTAGGACATTGGATGGATGAAGCTGTCCTGTCATCAATCGCTTGGCTACCTACCTCTGCCTGCCCCAGATCACTGCTTTTTTCAGTGGGACACTAGCCTAGTACATGATTAGTCCTTTCTTGGTATTGTTTCTGTAAACCATATCCTGTCACTATTTTGAAACTGCCTGGAGTTGTTTGTGCACTGGCTGGCAGTTCCCTTGCATTATTGTCGAGGCCACTTTGTGTTATATGTATTGGTGAGATTCAGCTTGTCTTTTAGTGTCTACTTGTACAATTCCCCATCTTTCTATAATTTGCCCTTGACAATGCAATAATTCAGTCCACACCGAAGTATACTCAAGCCTACTAGCCTGTTACCATAATGTGTCTCACACTGGAAACTTAATGCATTTAGCTGCATGTCAGATTTTACCTTTCATTGCTTAAGACTTAAAGCACTTTGAGATGTTATCATATGTGAAAGGTGCTGTGTAAGTACAAATGTATTGTTGTTTTCCTTCCTGGCATAAGATATGCAAATGTTACATAACTAAAGACCCAAAATAATACTTTTACCAACAGTATTCCTCTTGGTATGGCACCTAATAAATATAGTTGTACATTGTGTTAGTAGCATTGATCGTAGCTTGTGATAGAGTGTGATGAAGGAGGACCTATTGACTTAGACTCACAATCAGGAACAGATTGGAGTCAAATAATGAATGGCATACCTCCTTATCATCAGTTTATTTCTCTTTAACCAAACAACAACCAGTGTGACCCTACTTTAATGAGTTGAATATTCTTTGAAACTAAGAATGAGTTTCACATATGTCTCTTCAAAAAATCTGACCCTCCTCAATTCATTTATTTCCTTCAACGATTCTTTTCAGTGCCTCTAGCACGTTAAGGAATAATCCTTTTGATGTCCCTTTTGAAGATGTTCCTTCACTGTAAGAAATTAATTCTGTGAAGGATCGGACTGAATCGACTAATGCTATGCAATAAATAGCCCTTCAAGTATCCCATTGAATGAATTGATACAATGAACTGCATCCTTTCAGAACTATCTTAAAATAATTCTCATGCCATTGAATGAAATCGTCTGTTTGCCGTACAATTAATCTCTTGCACCTCCCTGAGTCAAAACTCATTACTAAGCTCTCTATTCGTGCCCTTTTACATTAGCAGCACAACCACTTCTGCTGCTTGATCTACATCTTTGGTGCCTGCTCAACTCAGTTTTCTTATAGCTTATACTGTCTTTTTGATCTGGCCAGTTTCAGGCCCTTCAACTCACTCTTCTCTTGCTCCCAGCCTGACCCTATCCTTTCTAAAGGCTTCATTCTTGAAAGTCTTCCTGCTAGAACTCCCCTCTTACCCTGTGACTCGCTATTTCTTATATCTGCTTGGTGGTTTAGGTTTATTTAAATTCTTGTCATTTAAAAAGCAGCTTGATGCTGTGATGGGAGAACAGTAGGGTGAGTATTCTGGAAGGATGAGATCCAATTCTCTCTCTCTGTCTGTCCTTTTGATTCTTAACAACTTTAACATCCTTTTTGATAGCAACATCAACACACTTTTTTTTACTTTTGCTCACTCTGTTATTTCCATACTTTTTATTGTTATTTGAAACTTATCAGGACTTGAAACTCACATAGTCGAGACTGACACTTCAGTGCAGTGCTGGGGGTATGCTGCAATGTTGGATGTGCTGTCCTTTGGATCAGATGTTAACCTGAGGTCCCGTCTGCCTGTTAAAGTGAGCGATAAAGATTCCATGGCACTATTTGAAAAGAGTTTTTCCTGGTCCTGGCCAGCAATCCCCCAATAAAATTGGTCACTCATTTCATGGCTGTTTGTGGGACATTGCTGTGTCCAAATTGGCTGCAGTTTTCTCCCGCAAAGCATACAGTAACTCCACTTCATAGTATATCCTGTGAAGCGCTTTGAGATGTTCTCTCGACGTGAAAGGTTCTGTACCAAAACATAAAGATAATTGTAGACACCAGAGGATTGGCATTGCTTGTGGATTTGTATCTGAGTGTTGCATCAATAGGTTTAGAAGAGGAATAAAAATGGGGAGAAAAGTTTAAGTAAGTATACTTGCTTTTGACACAACACTGACAAGATTGTAATAATTTTAAAACGTAATGAGTTGTCCATCAGCAGATGATGACAGTAATAAGATGACAGTTAACCATAGCTGGTGATCTTTAATCTGAGTTAGATGTGGGCAAACCCCATAAATAGAAAGTGTCAGTAATTTTCCTGTTTTCTTTAAACTTGGAAGTATTTGCTCTGTAATTATAGTGGGGCTATTAGTGTAACAGCCCGAGTACACTTAAAAACACTGAAAATGTTTTTAACTTCAAAAGCAAATACAGTACAGGAATTCACTTTAGCACAAATTGCAGATTACCCAAGCAAGTCAAGACATCAACTCATTACTGTTTAGTGACTTTAATTATAGCATAAAGGTTCCCTTTTAACTGAAAATGGTTATTCCTTGCCATTACACTGAACGGGGTATTGTAAGAATGTAACCTACCATACAATCTGGTTTATTAGTTGCATGTGTGTGAAGTTGTCCATCTTATTTGATTGTTACTCTGCTGACTGCAAAGGATTAGTTCCCTCTTTCATATTTAGCCAACATAAAAGTATACATGGAGGTGTGCTTGTACAATAGTCAGTGAACTTATGATTTCCTAAAAGCAAGTGAATTAAGTTTGTAGATTCTAAATTTGCAGCGTTTATAGTATGAACTGATAGAAGGTGAACTCCTCTCAATGAAATATGTTGGGATGATCAATACTAAATTATCAATATAACCAGCCTTGCATATAGGGGCTGATCAGTGCTATGGGCGCTATGGTGTGTGAGGTACGCTATATGAATGCAAATTGTTGTTGTTATACCATTCATTGCCATTGGATTAAAAAAGGGTAAAGGAAAATAGCAGTTTAATAGTCCTAATAAATATTCTTATATTTGATATAGTCCCTTTCACAAAAGAAAGATGTCTCAAAGTGTTTCACAGGACAATTTGCGCACCAAATTTAGTACAGAACAGGCCATTGGGATTGAGAAAGGTAGTCCACTTCAAACTTACTAGGGCTTGGGTACCAGAAAAAGCATCTTGTGATGTTAACTTCATCTTCTGCAGGGTACATTGCACTGACCTACAACACTTTAGCTCTGAGAGTCTTTGAAAGTTAGAGGCTTGAAGGAATATGGGGATCGGACAGAGCAGTGAGATTGGAAGTACAGCTTGTTCTTAGAGCCAGTGCAGGCTCGAAGGGCCGAATGGTTTCTTCTGTTGTGTAAAAGTGTACGATTCTATTATTTTGATTATTTTTATGATTGCCTTGTCAAGCCCATTGGTTTAACTGAGATTGCTGAACCAATACCTCTCTCTATCTGAATGGTAATGAAGCTGGTCCACTTCTCAGAAGGTTTCTTTAAACCAGATGTTTATTTTATGTTCCTGATTTATGATTAATACCAAATCTCTTCTGTTACTTGTTTTTCCCTCTAGATATGCCTAAGCCTCCACAGAAAGACCTGTACCTTCTATCAGACGAGTATGGATACCCACCCAGAAACAAGCGCTCCCTGTTTAAGACCCGCAAAAATGAGAAGCTGAATGTGGAAACCCTAGTGGTGGTGGACAAAAAGATGATTCAAAACCATGGCAATGAAAATATCACCACTTATGTTTTAACTATATTAAATATGGTAAGACAAAATGCCTGCAATTGATTTAGACCAGTCTTAGGTTAAGTGATAGCACAGGAGTGGAGTGTGCTGTTAAGTCATTTTACAAGATATCATTACAATACAAGAAATTGTTTTTAAGGCACTACGAACACATTAGATGGCTGGCCTGTAGTGGTTTTTCTGCATGTGTATATGTGTATATATATATGTGTATATATCAATTGCAACAGGCAGTAACTGCAGAGAGACCCAATCAGTTTACTTCCTTTCATCTGAGCAATAGGAAGCATTTCTGGATCTAAATGTTTATAAGTCAGCATTTATACTGGCTGGATTAAAAACGATATACATTAAGCATAGAATATACTTTTTAAAAAGGAGGTGTTTTCTGCCACTTTTCTACTGCTCCAGTGGTGCAGTGTTGGTTCTATTTTCACAGCACTGTGAGAAGAGAGAGCTGTGGGCTATCCACTCTCAAAGCTGTGACTTCAGAATGGAATAAACCTGTGTGTTCACACACTCAAACACTCAGACTGAGCACTGTTCACTGGCCTCTAGTTGCTGGTGGAACTTTAAATAATCTGGAAAGAATAGCTCTTTTCAGTCACTAAGTTTTAAAAGGATAGAATTAGTTTTTACAAACTAACCTCTTTCACCTCAGCCATGTTTATTGCACAGCTGATGTTACAATCCACTGTACTCACATGGTCTCTTTGTAGGCACATCAATGTGTATCTTACCATTTAATGCTGCAATCTTGACAGCAGTTCAGCATCCTGGAGGAGACTATACAATTGCCAAGCGTACAGAATAAAAGCATCATTGTAATCTCTCACCAGTATGGCAGCAAATTTTGATATGTTTAGCAGCAAAACCTACAGGGTGGCAGAGGAATCTCAAAAGTATCTTGTTTAATTGTTTAATGGAATGAGTTTGAGACCCAATTCTATAATTGCATACCTGCTGTCAGATATCAGACAAGCCATTGCATTTGAAGAGTTGAAATGTTTGTATTTCAGTAAGTAAAGATTCAGTTGTCACTTATAGTTAATGACCCTAAATTTGACATTGCACTGTGCTTTATCTTATGGGCTTGAAGCACGTTGATCGCCTGTAAAATATTGCGCTGAGTGCTTCAGTGATTGGATCAAAATATTTCAACACTTTCTTTTAAACATTGACCCTTCAAAAACAAAAAATGTAATTGCTGCAGTTGTCACGTTAACTGTCATGGTATTGGGGCCTTGCGTGACTGAAGGTGTGTTGAAGCGTTGGAAATCATTTACGGGGTAGGGAGGAACATCAAACAGTTCATCTGTAGCATCTGACGTGCTGTGAAAATCTGTGCTGCTGTAACTAAAACCTCTAAAAACTGCATGTCCAAAGTTGGTTTTAGTCCAAAGGTTTTCCCGGACCTTTATAGTCCTGTTAATAGCCCAGAGTTTAAATTGCTTCTACACATGCAGTTTAGGAAACTTTGCTGGCCTCTAGAAGAGTACAAGACACTTTAAGGAGATGGGTCCAAAGCTCTTTGTTCACGCTGGCTGTAGTGTAATGGAAGACGGCTCAAAGCACATCGAAAATGCTTCAAAAGACTAAAAGTTCCTGCCTGGGCCCTTTTGTATGTTTTTCTTTCATATGGCAAGAGAGGTGATTAGCAATGTTCAAATAATCAACTCTTTTATAATGAGATTTAGTGAGGCAACAAGTGATCTTTCTGAACACTAAAAAATGTTGCTGCCATTCAAGTGCCACAAAGTGGAGCAGCCACAGCTGACACTGTATTGTGGCTGCCTCACACATCTGTACTACAGGCATCAGTGCAAGTGGTATCACTGTGTCATCATTCAGACATTGCCAGAAAATGAAACCCCCACCAGAACGCCAAGCTACAACTCAGCCCAATTAAGAGGTGTTTCAGATTTCTATTTCACAGTTATTTCACTCTTTAATTCAAAAATAGAAATAAAGAATATATCACACTGCAAAATTAAATTGTTTGAGAAATTGGATGGGTAGGTTAGACGGATAGAGTGTCTAATCTTGCCTGAAATTATTACTGTATACCGATCTTTTGGATTTTCCATATTGATTCTAGTGTTGCAGATATGAAGGCAAAGTGATAGTTCTCTATATATAGGAAGCAAGCCTGTGAATAACTTCTGCTTTTCTTTTGTATTGTTTAAGGTGTCTACCTTGTTCAAAGATGGCACAATTGGAGGCAACATAAATATTGTAATAGTTGGCATTGTCCTTCTGGAAGAAGATCAGGTACTTATTTTTAAGTAAAAAAAATGCAATACAAATTAGATTTACGTAGCGCCTCTCATGTCAGGAGGACATCTCAAAACACTGAAAATCAAACTGACATGGATGAGTTTACAATACTTTGCCCCATCAGGCTGACGTTATTTTCATAGTCTGAGGCTTGCATTCAGCATTGCTGTATAAAAGATTCCTTACACCTGTGCCTTTACATTTTCTAACATTCATAAAAGAATTCTAGCAATGCACCCACTTACTTGTAGGCATTGCCTGCTGGCATTTAATGTTTTATCTTGGCTTCATTTGCTGTCTCTCTAATTGCCATTTGGAATTTCAGGCAAGGCTCGCCTGCATAATCCAGCACTTGCCTAAGATCACAACATTACCAGCATATGCATCCTTTCATGAAGCATTGAACTACTCAGTGAACCGTAAAGGGATGTCTCAGCAGCTTGCTTGCCTCCCATCACAGCATATTTGATCTTTCATGGAGTCTTATTCACTTAATAGAACAAAAAGTGAGGGCTTATCTGGGATCTTCTTTGAACTCAATTTTTTTTTTCCCCTTCTCCCCTTCGTTTTATTCTGCAGCCCGGGCTTTTAATAAATCATCACGCCGACCGCACTTTGAACAGCTTCTGTCAGTGGCAGTCGGGATTGGTGAGCAAAGAGGGCAACCGTCACGATCATGCCATTCTGCTAACGGGCCTTGACATTTGTTCCTGGAAGAATGAACCTTGTGATACTTTAGGTGAACTCATTAAATGATTTTTGAAGGTTTTCCCTGCCAATAGGCTGCAAAAAGAAAATCAGCAGAGTTTCCCTAATGATTATTTAGAACAGGCATTTATTATAAGAAGGTTGGTAAATTTAGTTTTATAACTGTCAGGTGCCTCATTATTTTGCATTACCAGTCAGGTATTCTCTAAAGCACTTTGTCATTGTGCATTTTCTTAGTATTATTAATAATAAATAATAATGCTTGCATTTGGTATAGCGCATCTCAAGTCAGAATGACTCAAAGCTTTTCACATGATTTATTGTAAAGAGCAATGACTGTATTTTGGAGGGAAATGTGGCAGCCAGTTTGTACACATCAATATTCCACAGACAGCCATGAAGTGAATGATTAATTTTATGTGAGGGTTTGTTGGCCAGGACACTGGGAGAAACTCTTTTCAGATAAAATCTTCAGTGGTCGAGATAATGAAATATCTCACTTGATTTTTACCTTGTACTTCACTCCCACCAGTCCAGAATCTAGCAAATCCATCCTTCTTTTACTTCTTGTTCCAGCACTTGAAAAACGACCATGCAGAACAATGTTATAACTTTTAAGCAATGGTAATAGTTATAAAATCAATAGAAGTGTCAGCCTCCACTCTCACCTCTGAGTTAGAAGGCTGTGGGTTCAGGCTCCTGGTTGGGACATTATATTCACATCTAGGCTGACATTCCAATACAGTGCTGGGAGGGAGGAAGGCTGCATTTTTCGATGTGCTGCCCATCAGACAAGATGAGGTCCTGTCTGCTTGTTCAGGCAGCTGTTAAAGATCCCACAGAACTATTCAAATAAGAAAAGAGTTTAGTTCAGTGTCCTAGCCAACAATAAAATTGGTCATTGACTTCATAGTTGTTTGTGGGATATTTCTGTGCACAAATCGGCCTCCGTTTCACTTACAAAGCAGACGGTCACTATGCTCAACAGTAAATTCTGTGAAGCATTTTGAGATGTCCTGCTGACATGAAATTCCCTGTATCAAATAGAAGGATTATAATTAGTGGTGTAAAATGGATTTATTTAAACTCAGTTTGAGAATGGTCTTGTTCGCTCCACCTTCCTGAAGTAAACAACCACGTGCTCCCTGCTTGGTCAGTAATTTCAGTCAGCCATGAACCTGAAGTTTCAGATGTGAGTGCTGTGTAAATTGGATGCTGCTTTAAAACACGGTAGCTGAAGACTGCAGTTTTTTTTAATATAGGAAACTTTGCTGGCCTGGAGAAGAGTACAAGATACCTTAAGGAGATGGTCCCAAAGCTCTTTGGTTCATGCTGCCTGAAACTTTGTGAAGATCTAGAATAGGAGTTCCCCAAAAAGTGCACAGACTATTTTTAATAAGAATTATAACCCTTGCATTTGGTATAGTGCCTTATCATGTCCTTGAGATGTCTCAAAGTGCTTTACAGGAATTGACTGTATTTTGTGAGCGAAATTTGGCAGCCAGTTTTGCGCACACCAAACGTCCCTCAAACAGCCATGAAGTGAGTGACCAATTTTATTTTGGGGATTATTGGCAAGGAAACTGGGAGAAACACCCTTCTCTTTTGAAATAGTGGGATCTTTAGCATACACCTGAGCAGGAAGATGTGACCTCGGTTTAACATCTGACGATTAGGTTTAGAGAGTGATTTTCTCCTCAGGATATTTATGGACCTTTTGAAGGGGGGAGGAATGCTATCAAAAGTCTCATATGGTTGCATTCTGGCAAAGATCAGTAAATTTACTAACACCCAGAACATAATACAGGCACTTCAGTAAAATAGAATCCAGACCATTCAGTGTTAAAACAACAAATGCAGTAATAAACCATTTTGAAAGGATGGAATAAAATGTGTCTGGATGGAACAAAGAAGCTGCTGTTAATTTAGGAAGCAAACTGTAATTCTGTGGGATTTCAGTATAGAATAAAATACTTGATATGCTAGGCCGGTACATCTCTGTAACCTTTGTAACATGTTCCCATTTGTACTCCGTTTCACTCCCTAGGTTTTGCACCTATCAGCGGAATGTGCAGCAAATATCGCAGTTGTACAATTAATGAAGACACAGGATTGGGACTGGCCTTTACCATTGCTCATGAATCTGGACACAAGTAAGATCATCTGTTACATTAGCTATGATTTCTGTTCATCAATTACCATGTAAGGATTATTATTCATAGAAGTCACTGATGTCACCTGAGTAACCGCTTGAAAATGACAATGGAGGTATTTCGAAAACCTCAGTGAGAAACGCCCCTTCAACAGTAGTAAAAGGTGGGGGGTGGGGGGGACATAGGCATTGTATCAAAATATAATTGGAGGGTTCAATAAAACTCAGTTCAAGAATCAGTCTTCTTTAAGACAAGTGAGCCGTTAGCTCATCTGGCTTGTCTGACAGGTCCATTGGCCAATCAGAAATGAGGACCAGAGGTGAGCAGGTACCGCTAACTAGTTGAGAGAGGGGTAAAAGGGGGCCCAAAGGTCCCGGGGCTAGGGCTGCTCGGAGGACTGACTGTGGTCCTCCTCAGGGCTTTCCCATCCCAGCTCCCCTTAAAGAGGTGAGCTGTGTATATGTGTGTACATATATATATATACATACATACATACATACATACATACATACATACATGTGGGAGGGGCAGGGGTTGAGCCCTCTCTAGCCTGGTGGTGTATCACTCGGATACTGAAGTCTTGAGACTTCTTTTTAGAAGTTTAGAAGTTATGATTGAGAGAGCAGGAGGGATCTGCATCTTGCATCCTTTCTTGGAAGCCATGTGCGCTGGAAAGACAATGCCCGACTCCACTGGCTCCCCATCCCCCAGAGGATCCAGTTCAAGATCCTCGTCCTCACCTATAAGGCCATCCATGGCCTTGCCCCCTTCTACCTCTCTGACCTACTGACTCCCTACCAACCTGTCCGCTCCTGGTCATCGGAGTCCGGCCTGCTCCATGTTTCCCATCCGACCCGCCCTACCATCAGTGGTTGGGCTTTCAGCCTCTTGCCCCCACACTCTGGAACTCCATCCCACGGTCTCTTCGCCTCACTTCCCCCCTGTGCCTCCTTCAAGATCGGTCTCAAGACCCTTCTCTTCGATCGTGCCTTTGGTCTTCCTCCACCTCTCTGCCTTCCCTCACCCCTACACCACCCCTCCCCCGGGCTCGGGCCCCGACACCTGACTGCTCAGCGCTTTGGGACGTCCTCCCGACATGAAAGGCGCTCTATAAATGTAATTTTGTTGTTGTTGTTGTTGTGCAGCCCATTATTAGTACGTAGTTTAAAATGAGTTGCTTAACTTACTGTGCGGTCAGAGGTCATGTCTTCTTGTAAAATAGCTTCCATTGTGCCTGCTCTATGTTTTGAGAGAAGGAATGTGTGCGTTTTGAACTCTCTTAATTAAATACATAGGTATCAAAACATGTTCAGTGCGACTCATTAATAATGTGGTGGTTGGAATCCATAAAATACCAATAGCAATCTGCTATAGCAATAGATACATATAGCAGCCGGCTAATTCCCATGCTAAAAAAAAAAATTCAACCATCGGGTTACTGCCAATGTCACTCTATTTGCTCCGCGTGCGCAAGGCAGGAAGTGACTGGTGCCGACCTGATGACCCGGACGTTGGCCATTGTTTTAGTTCGGAAAGTTAAAATGGCTGACTTCTGGATCACTGACATCACGTCCTGCTTTGCATGTGTGCAGCAAACAGGAAGTGACATTGACCTGACATTGACTTGAGGGTGATGTCCCAGAAGTTGGGCTGCAGGAAGGAAGCGATCTGGTTGTGCACATGTGCAGGGAATGGAGTACTCAGTGCGACCGTGTTATAAGCTGATTTGTGCTGTGGTGAAGAATGGTACAATGGCTGCACTTTTCAAACAACCATTTCATATCTCACTGCTATGATCGGGTAGCTAAACCGATTATAGAAAATATTTCAAAGGAAAGATCATTAGCGAGCTTTTGATACCTAGATGATCATGTACAGATTACTATTAATGGTTACAGTTAATGGGGAACTATAAATACTGTTTTACAAATTCTTGTCTGATTTCATACTTTTTTCCTGGAGATTTGAACAGAAAGCATTTGTTTCATTTTCTTTTATTTAAAACACTGCTTTAAGATTACTTTTTTTCTCCCCTCTCTGCTACCCAGAGGACACTCCAAACCTGGGATCTTTAATGTCCACCTTGTTTTATTTAGAACTAAACCTCTGACAATGCCGTGCTCCCCCAGCACTGCACAGGAGGACTAGTCTGGACTTGAGCCAAAATCCCAACATGGGGCTGGGTAGTTACTCCGTGAATTAATTAATCTGGAAGATTTATTGGATAGGACACCAGGAGCAACTCCCTTCTCTTTCCAAATAGTGACATGAATATTTTACTTTTTGAATCATTGAATAACTGAGGTGGGATCCGAAAAATGACAGCTCCAAACAATGCAACACTCCCAGCACTGTACTAGAGTGTCAGTGTAGACCAGTAGTGGACCATGAAGGTTAGCAGAATTCTTCATACATTTGATGCAAATTACAGGGATTAGTGACATCCAGCACAGCACTGAGTTGGCTGTTCATAACGTATATGTGAGCCTTAGCAGCAAATCCCAACAGTTTTCTTGTCTAAAGGGTATCAAATTTGGCCTCAATACTCTTTTATCTCACCTCCATATACCTACGTAGACCATTAGATATGACTGAATACTTGCCAGGAACAGGAAACCTATTCTTGCCTCCCTAGCGCCAGAAGATGTCACAGTTAGTAGTGTAATCCTCACTGAGTCTTCATCGGGTTCAAACTCCATGATGAAACTAAATGGGTCCAACTGCAAAAAAGAATAACTCAAGAGTTGATGATAAAATGCAAACAGCCGTATTTATTGCTCAAACAATCACATTAAACATTTGGGTTCCTTTTTGGTTAAGTGCAAAAATGCATTAGGATAAGTATTTGGTTTTGAAGGTATTTATTTGGATGTGTCATCAAACTCCTTTCTTCATTTTCACACCAGTATCCTTTTAAATGTTTGCACACAAAAAAAATGTTTGTGTAAATGTGACAAACTATATCTCACCAAAGCTATTTGTATTGAATGTGATTCTTTTCTAAACACCCGTGTGTTCATAATATCTTGGAAGGATTTATTTTTGTAGTAGTTCGGGCTCTTCACCACCATCTCAGAGACCTGCACTGTTTTAAATGCCAAAGCATTTTTGTACTAGAATTAATCCTCAGGTCTACTTGGAAGCCAGCACAATCCAAGCACCAGATCAAATATTCAATATTTAGGAATGCAATACTTGCGCTTTTCTATGAAAAAAAATCCATCAATGTTCTCCCTCCTTTCCTCCTGTTCGTCAAGGCATTTGACTCCCCCCACCTCCACTGGCTAAGGTTTCACTGGTGCCAGGTGCCCTCTGGATCGTTGCCTATGTGATCATTATTCATATGTGACCATTGACAGCAAGCTTCAGCAGGGCCAGCATAGCTATACCCAATCCTGCCTTCACCAATGTTCACCCAACTTTACACTAAGTAAATGATGAGACATTTACTTTTAATATATAAAGAGATTGGATTAAAGCCAGCAACAACTGAATGACGTGGCTATTATTCCATAGACCAAAATGCATTGCAATTTATCTCCTTTTAGATTGTAGTTTGATGGCACACAGAATCAGTCTGGGCAGTGGTTTGTTTTCTTGTGCGATTGTGATGGTCAAAAATGCCAAGGTTGTAAGTCTCGAGAGCAAGCACTCTGATTTTGCAATGAGAGGAACAATAAACTCCTTAATCCCTTTATTCTCAGCCTTCAACATTGACACCATATGTAAGAGAGGAATATTTGAGGACAATAGAAGAGGATCCCCTATTCCTTAAAATAAAGTGGTCTGTCATGCACTGATGAATAAAAGTCATCTTTTTGTTGCATCTTAATAATGTGATATCCTATTTAAAGTAACAAGTTGGCTTTTTTTTAAGCTATCAATTTAGATAGACATCTCACTTCAGTGCATTATCGTAGAGGAAAATGTAACATACAACATGACAGGTAGTGTAGCATCAGTAACACTACTGCTTTCCTAAGGAACACTTTTTCAAGCCTCATTGGCAGAATCTTGCTAGTTAAGGCAGCCAGGTATTAGTCTGGCTTAATTGGTAACACTCTCAACTCTGAGTCAGAAGGTTGTGGGTTGAAGCAGCACATATGGACTTTGAGCTCACTGTCTACACCAGTAGTGGCCAACCTTTATTGACTACTACTGGTCTATACTGACACTCCAGTGCAGTACTGGGAGTGTTGCATTGTTGGAGTTGCCATCTTTTGGATATTACTGAGGTCCCATCTCAGTTATTCAATGAATCAAGATGTAAAATGTTTGTGAGACATTGCTGTGCGAAAATTGGCTACCGCCTTTCCCTACAAATATAAAGTCACTTTACGGTATATCCTGTGAAATGTTTTGAGATGTTTCATCAATGTGGTAAAGCACTCTATCAAATCCTGGATTATTGTTGTTATTCAGAATCCTTCAGTACCAGCTCTGCACCAGATCATTTTCACTGATCACAGCCTGTCTGAGAGAAAACAATTTTACCACAAATTGTATGGTGCAGAGATATAATGCTAACTATTCTCAGATATGTTGAGAACTTTGTTTGGAACACTTGGAACATGGGTTCATATTTTGCCCACAAAATACACAGTATATCTTGTGAAGTGCTTTGAGATGTCTCCGCAATGTGATAAGACACAATATTAAATGCAAGGATTATTATTTTAGTAGACTCCAGTTACAATGCAAGGTAATTATTATCTTTTCAACTACTGCCTTTTCAGTTATACAGAGTCAATTTCTACTTTGTTAATTTTCAGTTGACATGTATCTGAAATTGATTTGGGCTTGATTTACGAATGCGACAGCATGAGGTGGAGCAATCTGATACAGTTGCGTTTATAGTTAGAGAGAGGGGGAGAGACACACACACACGTAAACACACACACACACATACACACACACACACGGGCAGAGACAGTCACCGATTCACTTTAAGGAGAAGGAGTGGGCGGATGGAGCAAATGGGACACCCGAGAGAGAGTGAAAGAGCTGACATTGTACGTCCTATTAGGGTTGCTCGAAACATACACACAGTCACAGCACTTTACAATATATCCTGTGAAGTGCTTTGAGACATCTTGGCAACATGATAAGGCACGATGTGAAACACAAAAATTATTATTATATAATTCCTTTTGGAAGTTTTTAGTTTGCACTACATTGTATATTTAGTGATTACCCTGCACTGTTCTCACATCCACAATGTGTTGTATTCCTATTAGTGCAGATATCAGGCTGTATGGCTGTATTATGATGGAGTTATTTTATTCCAAAAACTCTGTTAATCTCATTTTAATCTAACAAAAGTGTGCACGATACAATGAACTTTATACGCCCAACTGTAGTGTTCCCACATCTACAATACAATACAAAATTATATTTGTACAGCGCCTTTCACAGGGGGAGGACGTCCCAAGGCGCTGGACAGTCAGAGATTTGGAGGGATTCTCATGTTTTAATAGGAGCCCCTCCCTCTCCACTCCAATGCGGATATGAGTAAAGCAGTAAAGCCAATGAACAATAGATTGTACATTCTTGTTTTCCTGCACTGCCTAAGATAACCTTTGGGTCTCTGAGAATGTGAAGCTACAACCTAATCTTCAAGTAACTTATGTGGGGAATGTTACTGATTATTTTCTTTATCTTTCTGAGGATTTTGTTCAGTTTATGTTTGAATGACAAACCCTGTTGATACAGAAGCAGCTGGTTTTGACTGAGTTAGTGAGCCGGTGTGAGAGAGCAGCTTTGACAGTTTAAGCACACACTGTCAGGCTCAATAATTGAAAGCTATTGTTTAAAAGAAACAGCATGTGTGCACTCACCATCATTTGGCAGAATTCTTCATTCATTTTAATGCAAATTGCTCAATTAACTAATCAACAATATTCTTTGCCAACTGTTCAGAATGTGAAAGGATGCAACAAATGGCTTTATTAAGACCCTTAGCCTCTCACGTTTTGATGAGACTGCCCCAGTCACAAATGGTTAGTGACTTTTTCCGAGATTTGTCGCTTGCTGGCAGAGCCCCGTAGTCTGAGATACGTGCCTGTGGAGTGCTAATCCGCATGTCAGCACTTACCAACAGGTTCCTTGCTGCAGACACTTGTTAATAAAAACCCCTGGCAGTTGTGCCTTACTGAACTATAAATCATGCCATAGTAATAAGTTAAATAGAAACATGTTGCACAAGATTTTCGACAAGTAAAGCATTTGAGGGGAAAACAGTTTCTCTTCATTTTCTTTCAAACTATCGTGGCAAGTCTGCCTATTAATTGACACCGTGACAGTTGTGCATTGTTTGTACAGAAATATAATAAATAGAGGCTTTTTTTGTCAAACCGTTTTCCATCTACGGTTTACAAGCTTTATAATATTGTGTTGGGAATATTTGTTGTTTCTCATTTCTCTGGGAAACTTGCCATAACTGTGCTTTTTAATTATCTAAAGTGTATACACTCCGGCATGATATGGCAGTGAAATGAAGATTGTTAAGTGAACAATCTAATTAAAGTGAAGGTAGAACTCCCCATTGGGAGAGCCTCGTAGTGTGCCTGTCATGAAAGTAATTGAAAATTTCTGCACCTCATCTCATTTTCAGCACTTACAGAGGCATGCAGACACATTAGTAATGAAAAGAAATGACATTCCAATTGTCCAAGTGGTTAATTTACAATGCAAGAAAATCGAAGCATCCATTCACCAAGTAGTAAAGAATTAGATTCTTACTCCCTTTGGAGGACTGTAACCCACTAGCTAAATGCTCCGATTGAAATTTTGTTCACAAACAAACAAACGTTTGTCAGTTGTAACTGTTCAGAAGTGTTCAATTCTCTTTTAGGACACAGCAGAATCTGATGCTGTCAATTTTCTATGTATTCTCTCGTTTTAAAATAAAGATTTCCAGGTCCAATTTTCAGAATTACCTGGAAACTCTCAGAACAATACTGTAATTCCAGCCGAAATGTCTTTTTCTGAGAGGCTTCCTGTTCATTGAAGACCTACCTCTTCGACCGGGCTATCTTCCCCTTCTCCCTTGCAGCGTGTCCAATTCTTGTTTCTGTACAACTCTACAGGATGCTATCCTGCATGAAAGGCACTATGTAAATGCAGTTCCTGTTTTTGTTATTATGTGGTAAACTTGCGTGAACAAAATAGTGAGGGTTGGAGTGATAATAGATATATATATATCAATATATATATATATATACACATCGTTTGGTCTTCAAGGACCAAATAACTATATTTTTTAAATGTTTAGTTACATAACGTGATACAGCATGGAAACAGGCCATTCAGCCCAATTAGTCTGTGGAGTGCTTATACACATATTTGATTTTTGATGCAGAAATGTTACTTGTGATTTATTGTGTTAAAGTGCATATTAAAAATATAGTATTTGTGAACTCTCTGTCTTTGCCCCTTCTCTCTGCAGTTTCGGTATGATTCATGACGGAGAAGGGAATGTATGCAAGAAGTCAGAGGGCAACATTATGTCACCAACGTTAGCAGGCCACAATGGGGTGTTTTCATGGTCAGCCTGCAGTCGGCAATATCTGCATCGCTTTCTGAGGTACACACTCAATTCACTGCATGCTTTGAGGAATGTAACAAGGCTTCCAGCTGCCCTCGCTTTCTATGAAGAATAAAGCTTAGCAGATCAATTTAATTGTCCATTCAGTTTCATAAAAGAAATCAATTGACCATAATCATAGTAACTATGTGAGGTAAGTCAAAGGTGTACAGTCTTAGAACACCCTCATTACTCAGAGCCGTGGCTGCACACAAGGCAGTGATACAAGATTAATCATTGAACAGAAAGCATTTATTCAACTGACCAGCATGTTTCCAGCAGTAATGAACCGAACAATGTAGGACTCTTGGTTTGTTTAGATTTAAAACTTTATTGGTTTTCAAGTAGTACTTTCCTTCCCTTTCAAAACTCCCTTCACGCTAGCAACTTTGTACCAGTCTAAGCTCAGTGTCACATTCATACCATAGAGGGGTATTAAACCGGCCTTTCTGAATCTGACATTTACCATAACAGATGTTTTATGTCTAGGCTTGCCTAGATTGGATAAGTGTGGGTGAACATTGATATTCATCATTTTTTGCAATGTTGCACTGCAAAATAAATGTTCATTGATTTCAGAATCAATTTAATTTTTATGATGCACGACAAGTAAAGAATTGAGAGAATTTTTTTTAAAAATGTGGCTGCAACCTTTAGCAGGACAAGGAGCCTAAAAGGTGCTTTGATACCCTCTTTGGTATGAATATGACATTGAGCCCAAAACTGGTAGTGAGAATGACTCTCCAACAAATGTCCCAAACAGGCACTTTTACTTCGGAAACAGAAGAGGTCAGGACTGCTGATTTGTTGCTGTTGTGTGTCTTCAAAGTGCAAAAATTATTGTCTTCTGAAAATCAATAAAGGAAAATAATTAATTAAGAATAATCATCTACTGTCTGATGAAAATCAAAATAAATAAAGATTGATTTCCAGCAACCCTAGTTATGTTACATGCAATAACTATTCTCCAGGCATTACGTAGAAATAAACAATGCATTATGGTACGGTGTCTACAAACATCAATAAAGATCTGAATTACAAAATAACTTGTGTAGAAACAATTAAGATGATAAATGTTCCACAACTTGTAATAAAATTGAGGAATCGGTCCCTTAAAAGATGAGTTTGATCTCCAGTAAACTAAGGGTCAAGCTAATGCCAAGAATGCCCCCATATTCTCACGCTCTGCATATGGGTATGTCAGTTCAATTCACTTTACAATATATTCTGTGAAGTGTTTTGAGACGTCTCGAAGACGTGATAAGGCTCTATGTCAAATGTCAGGATTATTATTATGTTATTACCACGCAGTTACTGAATGGAAGGCAAACTGAATGCTAAGAAAGTTGGGTCAAGCCTAAAGCATTATCTTGTCCAGTTCAGCAGCCTATGTGGCACAACTCAACAGCCTGTTTAGTACATGGCATAGCAGGTTTGATATGCCGTATGCCTCCGCCTGCTCCACTGCTCCTACATTTGACATACGCATTGTCTCTGAGGCATGTTGCTATTTGCACAGATGGGTAGCACAGTGTGAATGGCTTTCACTCTTCATCCATCAATTTGCAGTTACAATAGTGAGTACATTACTGAGTGAATGATTTAGCAGGTTTACACACATGACGTGCGCCACACTCATAGTTATAGGGAACCAATAATATTTGGTTTATCCTGTTGGATATACTTCTGTGTATGGAACTGTATCTTTGGCAGCATCATTGCGAGACTTTCACTTTGCTGTAACATACAGTATGCTTTGTGAACCAGATGCTTTGATACAGCTGGCCCAAGTCTTTCTATGACCTCGGTAACTACGAGAGTCAGTCAGTCTTATAAAATATTCCTCATTACCATTGACGGACTTAACCGTGTTATGTCATCTATTATACAACAAAAACACTTGGAAGCCAGGATAAAAATACTGTAAAGCCAAACATCCAAAATAGATTATTCAGTGGCTGAGCATTTAGTTCAGAGTGTTGTGTGGACGAGGATAAAAACAAATGGCTTCTGCAACACATTGAAAACTAATTCTTGCACCAAGAGTTTTGTCTATATGAATCTTATGATGATAATACTAATCCTTGCATTTGATAAAGAGTCTTATTATGCCATTGAGACGTCTCAAAGCGTTTCACAGAATATACTGTAAAGTGGATTGAACTGTATATTTTGTGGGCAAAATGCAGCAGCTAATTTCACACATCAGTATCCCACAAACAGTTGTGGATTGAGCGCTCAAATTATTATTATTTTATTTATTTTTGCTTCACAGAATATATTATAATTAGTTAATTGACTGTATAGTTTGAGGATGAAATGTGGCAGCCAATTTCACACAGCAATGCCCCACAAACAGTCGTGGATTGAGTAACCAGGTTACTATTATTTATTTTACAGTGGGGGAGAAATTATTAACCCAAGAAAGGGATCTGCCAATTGATCTTGTATAGAGGATGATTATACAGTATGATTGCTTAATACAGTATACCTGTATGAAGAAAGGTTTGGAGGAAGGATGAATTGAATCAGTTACATTCCTGCTAGTTTGAAAATGAGAGACAAGTGTGCAAATGCCATGCTTTTCCAAAGCATGTACAACCTGGTACACAACCATTTACATCTGTTTGAAAAACATTGCTACTCATGACTTTAGTCAGCTGAAAATGAATTGTGCTTTTTAATATCTAACATACCAGTGAAAGGTATTTTACTGTGTAAACATCAGTTATTACTGCACTCAATCTCTTGAAACCACTTTGTTCCACAGCACTTCACAAGCAACTTGTCTTGCTGATGAACCGAAACCTGTGAAGGAGTACAAATACCCAGACAAGCTGCCAGGAGAGCTCTACGATGCTGACAGTCAGTGCAAGTGGCAGTTTGGGGAAAAGGCCAAACTTTGTCGGCTGGATTTTAAAAAGGCAAGAGGAATGCTACTGAACTTTCGCTTTGGTGTTTATAATAATATAATAATAATCCTTGCATTTGATATAGCGCCATATCACATCATTGAGACATCTCAAAGAGCTTCACAGAATATATTATAATTAGTTAATTGACTGTATATTTTGAGGATGGAATGTAGCAGCCAATTTCACACAGCAATACCCCACAAACAGTCGTGCATTGAGTAACCAGGTGACTTATTTATTTAACGGTGGGGGAGAAATTATTAACCCCAGAAAGGGATCTGCCAATCGATTAACAACAGAGTTCCTACTTACTGCTAGGTAAACAGAAGCATGTGGAATAAGGAAACTTAAGGAGTATGGAATCAAACCCAGTTCCTCTCGCTTGTGAAGCGAGTGCTCTAACCAATTTGCTACCGGACTCCACTTTATAGCAAATTGCATTTTTCTCGAGGCTTTATTATTGTCTTAATTGCCCTTGGGAGGATAAAGGATTAAATATGTAATCCTGATTTAATTGTTACAAAGACCCAATTTTTTCCAGCAAAGATCACTGGAGAGAATTTAGGAACTTGGACACTTGTGGGATAAAATTCTACCTGGATTTAGAATTACTCTGTTAGTGCAGCATTTCAGACCATCCAGAATTTGTCAAATTCTTAATTGGTCTTTAATTTTGAAGCCGGTTTTCTGTAAGTATCTTTTAAGAACTACAGAAAACGGGATTTGAAATAAAAACTGAATTCAACAAATGCCAAATATTGCAACTCTAAAATGCAGTGTTTGGCATTTGTTGAATTCAGTTTATAGTGCAATTTCACTGTTGCTTTTACTGGGCGAACTTGCATTCTTCCTGTCATCTCAAGTAAAATGATCTACAATGACAACTTGCATTTATATAGAGCCCATCATGTAGGTTAACATCTCTGAGTGCTTCACAGTGGAGTTGGAAGCCAAGCGAGGAGGAAGTTAGGGAAGGGAATGCGCACTCTCTCCCTGGAGGTACTTATCTTGCTTACCTAATTCAAAAGAGTATTAGATGCAGGTTGCCAAGCATCAAGACTTGGGGAACCCAGAGTGTGTGTTCAGGTACTACTGTAGTTTAACCAGCCAAAACCATACAGTTTGCCATTGAAAGCTTTCTTCTGCTTGTCTAGTTAGGACACACTACCTGTTAGGGCATAGTCTTGCAGGGCTAACAGGAGACAACTAGCCTACTCTTCCAAGTCCTGCCGATGAGCCAGACTGGCTGGGCTGTCGACAGCAGTGCCTTAGCATACTATGGAGCTGCTTGGCTCAGGGACTGGACTCCGGAGACCTCCACAGAGGGTTGGCTCGATTCCAACATTCTGTTGCCCATGTCAAAATGTCTCGCAGTGCTTCACAAAGTTTTCTGTGAAGAGTAGTGACTATATTTGCAAGCGAACTCTGCAGCCAATTTGCTGTGTCCCACAAAGAGCCATGAAGTGACAAGTTTTTTTATTTATAGGATTGTTAGCTAGGACACTGGGAGAAACTCCCTTCTCTTTTCGAATAGTGCTATAGGATCTTTAACATCTCCCTGAACAGGCAGATGGGACCTTGATTATGTATATGAAGTAATTTTTATCATGGCACAAATCCCTGCTTGAAATTGGTTGTGTTGCTAAAATAGTGTCGCTGCTTAACAAGAAACAGGCAACATAAACTAAACCGCAGATCTGAATTTAAAATGATTTATTCTCAAACTTAGTTACTGAATTCTTTTTCTGTCTTAGGACATTTGTAAAGCACTTTGGTGCCATCGCATTGGCAGAAGATGTGAGACGAAGTTCATGCCAGCTGCCGAGGGGACTGTTTGTGGCTTTGACAGGGTAAGATAACATCTCACTCTCTTCAATATTCATTCAACCGTACTTCTTGAAATGGAGGTTTTGTAAGTACATTTATTATGTGGGCTGTAAGAAACCTGTCTGATCAATAAGGTTTTGTTTGCCTTTTGTAGCTGCCAGTGTAATTGAAATGTTTTCTTCAAAGAAGTCTAGAGGAATTTTCCTGCTCAGCAATATGAAACAGTTCTTGGTTATAAAGTTCCTCCTACATTTCTGGTCAAGTACGTCTTGCTGGAATGCAAAGCTCTATTGCATAAGAAGGAAGTATAATAACGCCCACGCAGATTAATCACAACCAGAAGTGGTTCACAACAAGCTGTGCATTATACATAGTGCAATACAGATCAGAATAGTTGGTCTTTTCTTTGTTTCTTAAATGGTGATAGTGAAATTTGCAGTAGGAAATACAATCACTACAATCGTGGATTGTGGTACAATCACTACCACACACACAGTAATAAATACCGTGTAGCTGAGGGTAATGTCCATCATTATCCAAAATCTTATCAATATACATTGATCTGGGAGCTGACCTCATGTACTAGTGAATGTGTAGCAATACCTAGTCAGTGTTGGGTTTTTCAAAGGTAGAGGGGCTCTGACAATTGGCTTTATAATAACTTTAGGCTTTATAATACTAATCAGAAAAACGGCACCAAATTCAGACTGAATTTAAGAATTTGCCATAATTGCACAAAATCTGAAATTTTAGAAAAATAGCCTTAAGGTTAGAACTGTGTGTATTTTCAGTCCTCTGGTCCCTGGCTTGTGACCACACACTGCGTTTTCATGAGCGTTGATGTAATGATGTAGTCATTTAATGTGGATCGGCTGTTTATGCCGAAACATATGGAAGAATTTTTTGGAGTTTTTCTTTGATCGTATTTGCTATCCAGGGAGAATTATGTTGAGCTTCCCCAGGAACTAACCTGGCTGGGGTGAAGTTCGTCAACAGAACAGATTTTGTGTCTATGGAGATTGCGGTTTGATGGGCCTAATGGCTTTATTTTCATCCACACTTTCTGGTTTAATCTCCATGGTTAGAAGAGGGATAATGCAGGTTTACATTGTGGTGTTGCCGGTGAACAAATGCACTTTACTTGAGACCTTTAATACCTGTCAGAAGAAAGCAAATGTCAGTTCATATCTAACATGTGTGAGAATTCATAGAGAGCAATAGGATTGTAATTTTAAAGTGACATGACAATTGTATCCAAAAGCTGTAATGATAATTTTGACATCAAATTTTTCAAAATGTGTGGAAATTTACATATAAAAAACAAACCATCTACAACAGTTAACGTTTAAGCACTTTGTAAAGCCAAGTACTTATTGACTGCTTATCAGAATATGACATGTGCATGAGACTAAGTAAGTTTGGAAATGTTTTAACTGCTGGTTCAGAAATCCATTGATTTCTACCACTACAATAAAAATGTAGAACCTTTTGCTTTATAGAATATCTCAGTGTTTGACAAATACGATGGTGAACACTGAGAAGGGAAATAAGAGATTCAATGATATTGACCAAAGCCACAGCCCTGAAATTTGTTGTTAGGAGATTTCTGAATGCAGAGAGAGAGTCATAATAATAATCCTCGCATTTGGTATTGCTCCCTTGACTTTAGGAGAACATCTCAAAGCACTTTCCATGATTTACTGTTAAGTGAAGTGACTTGGTGGTTCGTAGGCAAACGCTACAGAGGTGTTTACAGCGGTGTCCCACAAATAGCCATGAAATGAATGACCAATTTGATTTGGGGGATTGTGGGAAAACTCCTTTCCTTTTTGGAGTGCCACGCTGTCATGATACAAACACCGTGGGACATTGCTGTGCACAAATTGGCTGCAGCATTTGCCACCAATATACCCAGTCACTCCATTTTGCAGTGCATCCTGTGAAGCACATTATCCTCCTGACTTAAAAGGTGCAATACTAAATGTAAAGATTATTATTATTATGGGATCTTTAAAGTCCACCTAAACAGGCAAATGGGACCTCATCCGAAGGACGTTGTGGATAGAGTAGCCTTTGTGTGGTCTTGCAGAATGAGCAAGTTTGATGGGCCAAATGACCTTTATCATTCCATGTTTTCTTATGCACTTACAAATCTTTTGTTGAACTTTCAAACCGTGTTCAGTGTTTTTTTTATTCCACTGAGCTAACACCAAAAATGAAAAAAAGTTGTCATAAAGGGTGATTATCTCGTTTTATCTTATTCATGCATCTCGTAGGTGGGCCAGAGAAGAAATAAATGTTGGTTTTGGCTTTTACTTTTATTGCAGCTGGAAGGAGACTGTGGTTTGCCAACCTTCCACTTGCATTTCCTGAAACATTCACTTTCAGTTTTTGCTGCCAAATGTAAGCGAACAGCCTTTTCTGATAATTGGACATCGTACGATGATAAATGTGTGGATTTCTAAGAGAAATAAAACTGCAGTAGAAGTTTGCTTCATTGTGTTCCATATTATCTCCTCAGACAGCTAAAATAACTTATATGTACTAATACATTTCGCGTTGCTATTATGTTATATCTGGTATTGCATTTATATTGAATCTCATATTGTGGTAATACTGCATCTCATTTATACTGCATCTCACACTGCATTTATACTACACTTCACACTGCATTTATTCCTTGTAAATGTTTATGTTTCCGTTAAGGTTGAAAAATATTATTATTATTAAAAAATACTAAATGGCAAAACCTGAGTGCAAATGGTGTGAGCTACAGAAAAAGTAAATTGTGTATAAAGTACATCTAGTGCAAGCAACTCCATGTGTTGTCATTTCATGCAATTGTGACACTCTTCCTAAAATAGCTACTAAGCGGATGGTAACCTGCTCCAATCCGTCTGCTTACTGCAGCAACTTAAACATATATTCAGCCTTGGTGATGGAGTTAGACATTTAATATCCAATAAATCCTTATGCTAAGCTAGCAGGAGTTCATTGTGATTGATTTTGATTCCGGGAATTCCAGATCATTGTTGGAACTAAAATAATTTACTTATCATTACAACAACAACGATTTTACATTTATATAGTATTGTGCATTTCATGTCGGGAGGATATCTCAAAAAGTGCTTCACACAAGTGACAGGGAGCCGATTGACTCAGGAAGGGGGAAGGGGGTTAGTGGAGTCTGGTGTGGGAGAGGATGTGGGCTGCGGACTTCTGGCTGGTTTGTTACTTATGTAGAGAGGATCTGGGAAGTCCAGCGTGCTGCATTATTGCAGGCAAATAATGTGAGTAAACTCCTTAGGCATTCAAACCAAGATGCCACAGAAGCCTTGAGTATTTGTTACAAAAACCCAGGAAAGATCACATGGATATACTAAATATTCATTAAAAGTAGAATAGGTAGCATTCAATCATTTCAGATTAACATATTAAATAAACCGTTTGATGATGTCCTCATATTGAAAAGTTAAAGTTGCTTACAAGTTTGCCCACAAAATATACACAGCCACATCATTTTACAGTATATCCTGGAAAATGCTTTGAGAAGTCGTGTTGACATGATGAGGTGCTATATCAAATGTAAGAAATATTATCAGCTAATTTTAATTGTAATGATTAGCAGCAGTTGGTCCGAATAAATATCAACACTCTTATCTTTGGTTATAATAATATGGTAGTGACAGAAGGATTTGTAAACATTGAGCCCTGTTGGTAGCTGGATATGCATTACACAGACTCTAGATAACTGTTCCAATGTGGCCAAAAATCAAATCGGATCACAATTCTCACGGGTCAGCATGATGCACGTGCAGTTAACTGCAGGGTTTAATGTTTGTGAATTATGCTGCAACTTCTGCATTTTAAACCCCTTTGTCTGATGCACCATTATATCTGCTTAAACATGTAAAAATTAATCAGCCAGCACTTAATTATTCTCTGTTTTGATCTAGTGGTGCCGTCGAGGGCAGTGTGTTAAGTATGGGGAGGAAGGACCAAAACCTATCAATGGTCGCTGGTCAGAGTGGTCCATGTGGTTACCTTGCTCCAGGACCTGTGGAGGAGGAGTAACAAGCAGAGAGCGTCAGTGCACTAATCCAAGGTAAAAGAATGCTCTACACTGTCTCAGTGTCTGGTTTTCACAACAAGTTTTTTTTCTGACACATTGAATTCGTAGAAACTTAGAAATTAGAACAAAGGAGGAGTCATTGCCCAGAGTGTCATTTGGCCCTTTCAGTGTCTGAACTGTGCTAGCTCATCTTTTAGAACTATCTACTTTCATCCCAAACGCTTGCTTTTTCTCCATACTTTATTGTCAGATTGGCTCAATTGGTAGCCCGCTCTGTTCTATGTCAGAAGGTTGTGGGATCAAGCCCCACATTCCAACTTGAAACTCAATCTAAGCTGACACTCCAATGCTGTGTTGGGAGAGAGATGGTTTGTCTTTCAGATGAAATATTAAACCAAGTTCTTGTCTCTTCCTGTTCAATTAGATGCTAAAAATCCCATGGTACTGTTTGAAAAGAGCAGTGAGTTTTTCTCAGTGTCCTAGCCAACAATCCCCCAGATAAAATTGATAATTAATTTCTTGGCAAATTGTTAGACATTACTGTACGCTATTGGCTGCCATATTTGCCGACAAATAAAACAGTCATGACACTTCACAACAAAAATCTTATAAAGCGCTTTGAGATGTCTTGCAAAATGATAAAGCACTCTTATCAGTTGCAAAGGTTATTATATTAGTCCACTTCCTCTTCAAATATTAATCCATTTCCCTTTTAAAGGTGTGAAAAGGGTTGCTGGATTGGGAAACAAATTCTCTCAGTTTCTGGGATGTAGGACAACTCTCAGATCAGTGTTAAATCCATTTATAATGATTTACAGCTTTAAGGCATATCACTCTCCTGATTACTCAGTTTACTGATGAGGTTTTTTTTTGCCTTTGCCTTTACACTTGAATGGGGATAATAAATCACCCTGCTTACAAAATATCTGGCCAGTCTAAGAGGTTGCCAAAGGTATAGATGCCCTAGTTTCAATTAGAATTGCCTCTTCAACCATTTTAGAAAATGGTATGATTTTTAATTCTATGGAGTGTAAATAGATTCCTCAGTTTGAATAACAAACCTCTAGCATAATTGAGGGATTTAGATGTCATTAAACATAAGAATGAAATGTAAGCGGTTTATAAACTTCAACTGAACCCTGCGATTGGGTTACAGGCTCCAGCTCTCATGCCAGTATCTGATCTTGTCAGCAATACATACTGCATGTGGAATTTGGAGTTAAACTTTGAGTTCATGTTGTTATGAAAGATTCAACGTTTTTAACCAATTATCTGGTGGGTTTCTGAGTCTCAGCCCTTCGCCCAGTGACACAATTATTTTTATATATGGTGATATTACTGAAGATTTTTTTAACAAATAATTTGCAGCAAATTGCAAGGAAATCAGCATGGCAGAGACTGAAAACACTACCCTGCCTTAGATTCTGTTATGTGCGCTAAGTGAGGCTCAATGTCTAGAATGCCAATCAGTACTACAACTGGAATCAGATCTGGCAGCTAACCCTTCCCACCAGCAACTCTTTCAAACCACGAGAGCGTGGCAATCAACCAAGGATGTGCTTTCCATGGATTTCTGAAGGACTCTTTCAGTACTTTGGTTTCTGCTTTTGAGTCTCTCTCACAGCATTTAGCTGAGATGTCCACTATAACATCTCCTCCAGTTGTCACACTTTCCCCAATGTATCTAACAAGGTGATGCCAAAATGGAGCTGCCAGCCAAATACTGGTGGAATCCCCCAATTGGTGAGCATTTAATCAAGTGAGACTTTATTCAGTTGGTTGGATGGACAAAGGAAACCTGCAAGTAAACCTACATCCTTCACTGGAAGTGATTTCCCCCCACTCCCAGAGATTAAGAGAATTCCTGTGGTTATGTGGAGTTTGAACATAAGGATTGATTAAGACCACCCCTGTAGCACGTGAATTATTCGCTTTCTCTCCAGCACATGGGGAGAGAGCTAAGTGCAGAATTCTGGCAGGTTTGTACATGATTTACCAGTTCGAAGCCTTAGAGAAAATATTTTGAGAGACATCCCTGCAATGTGTTTCGAGTCAGTGGTATAGGCCTTAGACAGACAACACCCAACTTGTTTGAGTCAGATGGTTGAGAGTGGTTGGGCTTCGCTGTCTCTCTCTGTCTCTTTCTCTAGTGTATGCAGAGCCATTAAAATGTTCTACATGATTGACAGGCTTTGTTATTCACTGTAACTGCAATTCATCCAGGTGCACCCAGGCAAAATGTACCTGCCGCCAGGGAATTCTGAAGAGTTCTGAAGTGTGCAGACATGATTGCGTGAGCATCAGCAAAGGAACAACTAAGAATATGATGTGAGAGGAGGTAGAATTGGGCAAGTTGCCAGTATAAAGAGTGATAGTCTTAGAATTATTGTGTTCCTATTTACAGCTCCATTTGACTTTCCAAATGTAGAAATGAAGAGACATGGAGCAGGTGAGAAGGCAACACCCTATGATACACAACTTTTAATTCAACTGTGGGACCCGAGTATGAATCCAGCCACCACTAATAGGATGAAAGTCTTCATCTCTCTGTCAGTCTTCCTCGTTTGGTGGAATTCTTGGCAGTTGATTGGAAAGTTGTGGGTTCAGGCTTCACATCAGGATTTGAGCTCAGGCACTGGATGATACTCCAGTGCAGTAATAATAATCCTTGCATTTGATATAGCGCTTTTCACGTCGGGAGGACGTCCCAAAGCGCTTTACAGAACACACTGTAAAGTGAATTGACTGTATATTTGTGGGCGAACGCGGCAGCCAATTGCGCACAGCAATGTCCTACAAACAGTCGTAGATTGAAAATGACCAATTTATTATTGTTTTTGGTTTTGGAGGGATTATTATTAGGCGTGTGGAGTAAGGAAACTTGCCCAAGGTTTCGCCCTGCCTGGAATTGAACTCAGGTCTCTCGCTTGCAAAGCGAGTGCTCTAACCACTGAGCTACAGGACTCCACAGTACTGAGGGAGCCCTGCACTGTTGCAGTTGCCATCGTTTGGATGAGATATTAAACTGAGGTGCCTTCTGCCAATTCAAGCAGACATTAAATATCCCAATGACATTCTTCAGAAAAAAAATGGAGTTTCTGTATTCAACGGTTCTTCAGATAAATTGCTCATTGGTTGTTTGTGGAACATTGCTGGTGCACACAACAGCTGCTCTATTTACCTAAGCACCTTGGAACATTATCTTGACATGAAATGGGCTATATAAATGCAATTGGTTATTGTTGTTACAGACGCAGTCACAACACTTGTCAGTAATTGCTTGTGAAGTTTTTATGTATAAAGTACTATAAAAATACCAGGTCTTTCTAAGCATCCCAGGTAAACTGAGTTTGGGCAATAACTGCAGGTTTTGACAATAACATAGAGCTATATAGTGGCAGATGGAAAAATGAAAAGGAAAGTCTCAAATAGCAGATTTAAGCAATAACATTTAAATATGTGGCCTTACTTTGACATAAAATAATTTGGATGAATTTACAGGGCAACTACATCTAATCTGCTACAATTACTGTGCAAAGGGATTAGTATTGGAGTTCATTGGGACTAAAAGGTCTGACCAGATTGACAAAATACACTGGTGGAAAAGGCTCAGAGTGCTGAATGGCCTCCCTCTGTTCCTGGTTTTCTATGTTGGTACTAATAGGCAAAGTACATCTGATATCTTATACGTCCAAATAGTATACCAAGACCGGAGAAAGGAACACAACAAATATAGGCATTTTTAAATTGGTGATGACCATTTCTATTATTATAAACCTTCTGAGGAATGTTTTTTCCCATAACAAGCTGGTATGCATTTTAAATGACGCAAATGGGTACCATTGGTAAATTCTTGTGTTTAAAGATTATATTCGCTCACTCCCTCATTCAAGGTTAGCCTCAAGACATACCTCTTTGGTCGTGCTTTCGGTCATCTTTCTCCTCCCTACCCGCTCGTGTGTCCAGCCAGCAGTGTCAAACTCTTTGAAACATCCTCCTGATGTGAAAAGCACAATATAAATGTACTGTCAATTATATTTTAATGTTAAAGGAATTTGTGCAAGACTAAGTTTGCTGTTTATGGATTAATATAATTTCTGTACGTTTCTGATGGCACCCATCTTAGCAACATTATCATAAGCACAAATTATCTCATAACATAAGCCTCTTTGGTGAGGAACTGAGTTTGAAATATGCCTTGGAGGCATTGCAATCACAGAATTAGTGCAGTCCCATTACCAGGAATAAATTTATCCACAAAATGGATTTTAATGTTTTTTAAAATCCTATGGACACACTGCTATAATGGGAAATAATGTAGCTTTTGCACCTGACATAGAACAAAAACTAAATTACATTTGTAAAGTGCCTTTCACGTCGGGAGGACTTCCCAAGGCGCTGGACAGTCAATGTTTCAGACCCGAGCTGGGGGTTGAGATTGGAGAGGGTGGAGGGCAGGGGGGAAGCAGGGTGATCGAAAGCACAGTCGAAGAAGAGGGTCTTGAGATGGGTCTTAAAGCAGGCAAGGGAAGAGGCGGAGGGACTGCAAGATGGAGTTCCAGAGGGTGGGGGCAGAGTGGCAGAAGGCCTGCCTGCCAATAGTGAGGCGGGGGACGTGAAGCAGGCTGAAGTCCGCTGAGTGGAAGGAGCAGGCAGTTGGTAGGGGGTTAGGAGTAGAAATGTCACTGATGCCAGAACTACTGCAAAATACACAGTCTATCAATGTACTTTACAGTATATTCTGTGAAGCACTTTGCGACGTCTCAACGACGCGATAAGGTGCTATTTAAATGCAAGGATTTTTTTTATTATTACTGCACTCAAAATTTCAGGTGTCCCCTCAAATAGCATGTCACAAAACATACTGCTGGTGGGAACATCAATTACTACATCTTAATATTTTTATCAACAAGTCATGGTTAGGGTTTGCATCCTTTTGCCAAGTTTGAAACTGGAAAGGGATAGGATAGGGCCCGTGCGGGATACGGAGCTGGGATGGTGTACAGAGCTAAATTAGGGGTGGTTCATTGAGATTGATATTAGGTTTTCTTTCCTGGAATAAAAATTCTTAATAGCCCGAAGTGATTGGGGGAAAATAGATTTTTTTTCCTTTACAGCAACTTTACTTTAAATTTTGGTGTCACCAGGCTTTTGGCATCAAGTTAGCATTTCAGGACTTGGCAGATATCCTGCACGGAAGCACAGGTTGCCCAGACCAAAGCAGCCCACATATCATTTGGTTGACATTTCTCTTTTTGTTGCTAACACTCTTAGAAACCTAGTGTGTGTATTATTTGAGTGCAGATTTTTTACATTTTAAGAATAGATTTGAATGTCAAAAATAATCCTTGCATTTGATGTATCACCTATGACATCAAAACGTCTCAAAACACTTTAACGGTAATTAATTATTGTTAAGTGTAATGACGAACATTTGTCAGTGAACACAGTAACTCCTTTGTGCTCAACAATGTGGAGTTCTGTAGCTCAGTTGTTAGAGCACTCGCTTTGCAAGCGAGAGACCTGAGTTCAATTCCAGGCAGAGGGCGAAACCTTGGGCAAGTTTCCTTACTCCACACGCCTAATAATAATCCCGTCAAAAAACAAAAAAAAGCAATAATAAATTGGTCATTTTCAATCTACGACTGTTTGTGGGACATTGCTGTGCGCAATTGGCTGCCGCATTCGCCCACAAATATACAGTCAATTCACTTTACAGTGTGTTCTGTGAAGCGCTTTGGGACGTCCTCCCGACGTGAAAAGCGCTATATCAAATGCAAGGATTATTATTATTATTATTAATGTCCCACAATTAGCCATGAAACAAATGACCAATTTATCCAGGGGGATTGTTGGCCAGGACACCAGGAGAAACTCCCTTCACATTTTGAATAGTCATAGATTCAAAGTCCATCTGAACAAACAGGCAGGATATTGGTTTGATGTTTTAGTCAAAAGTACAACACCTCTGACAATGCAACACTCCCCAAACACTGCACTGGAGTTTTCACCTAGTTTGTGAGTTCAAGATCTACCCAACTGGGCTAGGCTAAGCATCTCAGAGCAACCTTGAATAGAGCTGATTTGTTTCTGTGGGGGAGGGATGTATATTGTAGGAAGCAGTTCCTTAATTACTAAATGATAAGAAGAAAGGTTCTTTCAGGCACAACTTAATTTCTACTGTGTAAATCACTTTAAATAACTGGAGGGGGCAGGGCCTATCAATCATAATCAGGTGATGTCTCCACAAAGCAAATACTTTGTCCAGTCAAATGGGAATGTGATTGATTGAAGTAGGTCAAGAATTTCAAGCTAAAGAAGACGAGATGAAAGTCAAATACACACAGTAGGAGGTAAACCTGAGAGTGGTTCCCACTCCAGTGTATAATTGTTTTTCACAGGTTGTGTAAGCACCTTGAGGGAATGCACCTGTCTACACCTGTGTAATTGACTTCCGTCACCATGAATCACAGACAACAGTATGTCTCAGATAGCAGTGCAGTTCTGTGGGTCATACCAGATTGAGGTGGGAGCATGTTCAACAGCATTTCTGTAGAAAAATATTTTAATTGGAAAATAAATATACAGGTCCTTTTAACTGATGGGAATTCTAATTGAGTTCCCCGCGCCCCCCCAAAACATTTAAATTAAAGTTTACTTTGAGCAAAGAAACTAATTAAAAAAAAACAAAAGAGCTCTGTGATTCCAGGTATTTAATTTTCCTTTCAACAATACAATATAATGTGAGTATAAATGGGATTTATTGTTTACAGTTGGCTCTACACACTTTGACATTTTCTTAAAAGTATCGCCATGTTTTAACAGAGAACATGTCACTGATTTGAAATGTTTGTCTTGTTAATCTTTTTTGGGGGGTATTTAGAATTTGTTTTATGTAAATCAACCATTATTTTACTGTTATCACTGTACTCGTTATATAGAACTCCATCCCCACTTTCAAATCCCTCATCAAGATTTACTTTGTGCTTTTGGCCATCTTCCCCCACCCTGGGCTCGGATACCCACTCACCTAGGTATTAGATTTCAGACATCCTCAATAGGCGAAAGGCAGTGTATAAGTGTAAATTGTATTGTACTTTCATCAGCTTGTCAGTCAAGGGATTCTCTTCATCTTCATTAAGCAGTTGCTTCTAATATATTAACCCATTTAATGCACTTGAGCCTTTGGTTATTCTTGCATTTGCTGGTGTCCATTCCAGACACGAGGAAATTTCCATGCGTAGATGGCACACATATATGCGGCTCTCAGTCGGGTTTGCATATTCGTGGCACGGTGATGCATTTCCACACATGTCTAGCACTCGGTTGACCAAAAAAAGTGTCATTCTTTTAATGGACTTGAATCTTCGGTTATACCTGCATTTGTTGGTGTGAGACTTCCTGGTACATCTCTGTCATATATTTTCCAACAGTGCATCTGAGGAAAGAAGATCACTTTTCAGAGTTGACCAATGATATTGTGTACGGTATCAATTATATCATACAATTCAGTTAAATATTTCCAGAAGGTTTTGTGGTTTAGGAATGAAGAAATGTGCGAACTAGAAATGATCAGAACAGTTAGGTAAAGGATGAGGGTTAGTTGTAAATTTAACTGATTGATATTTGTAATATTTGTAAAACCATCCATTTCCAGGAATCACATTAAAGAATAATAATCCTCCCATTTGCCTTTCAGATCAGGAAGGTATCTCAAAGCACTTCATAATATATACTGTAAAGTCGATTGATCCCCCATTACCTCTGCAACCTCCTAATCCCCTACCATCCTGCCTGCTCCCACTGCTCAGCGGCCTCCGGCCTGCCTTACGTCCCCCGCCTCGCCCGCCCCACCATTGGTGGGCAGGTCTTCTACCACTCTGCCCCCACCCTCTGGAACTCCATCCTGTAGTCCCTCAGCCTCGCCCCCTCCCTTGCCTCCTTCAAGACGCATCTCAACACCTTCCTCTTTGACCGTGCTTTTGATCGTGCTTGGACGTTACTATAAGACATTGTCTCTTTTATCATCTCGTTCAAGTGCTCTGAAATGCTACCAATGTGAAGAGTGCATGTTGTTCTACTCCTAACCCCCTACCAAGCTGTCTGCTCCTTCCGTTCAACGGACTCCAGCCTGCTTCACCTCCCCCGCCTCACCATTGGCGGGTGGGTCTTCTGCCACTCTGCCCCCACTCTCTGAAACTCCATCCCGCAGTGCCTCCGCCTTGCCCCTTCCCTTGCCTCCTTCAAGACCCATCTCAGGACCCTCCTCTTCAACTGTGCTTTCGATCACCCTGCTTACCCCCCCTGGCCTCCGCCCTCCCCAATCCCAACCCCCAGCTCAGGTCAGAAACTCTGGCTTTCCAGCACCTTGGGACATCCTCCCGACATGAAAGGCACTATACAATATTTAATTTTGTTGTTTTTGTTGACTGTGTGTTTTGTAGACAAACGATTTGCACACAGCAATATCCCACAAATAGCTGTGAAGTGAATGACCAATTTTATTTGGGGGATTGTTGGCCAGGAGAAACTTGTGGAAGAAAGGACTGAGTCACCATCTTCACTATTTATTAGCTTACAGACATTGTTTAGGGAAGAAAAAGAAACCCTGTCTGGAAATTTTATGAGTGCCCTGTTTGGACCTTTTCGCTTGTTCCTATAATGTTATTTCTGATAATGCAGAATTTACAATCTATGAGAAAGAATTCACTGCTCATGTGTTTTTTCTCCAAACAGGCCTCAGTACGGAGGAAAGTTCTGCGATGGTTCACCTCGTATATACAAGCTGTGTAATCATCAGAATTGTCCCCAAAATAGCATTGATTTCAGATCCCAGCAGTGCGCAGAGTACAACAGCAAGCCATTCCGGGGATGGTACTACAGGTGGAAGCCTTATACTCGTGTTGAGGGTAAATCTATATTTTTTTTAAAGTTTGTTTTGCCAATTTGCACCCCTAAACTGAAGGCATTTGACGCATTTTTCCTTCTACTTGCACACAGTTCCACAACCTCCAAATCCACCCAAGAGGCTGTTTTGAATTTGTGAGGCTTGACAGGCTGTTCGACTGCAAGGAGTATGACACCATAGCCTGATCCTGTGCTAACCAGGCACTCTTATAGGCATAACTTCCATTAGGGCTCTCTGGATAACACTGTAGGGGAAAATACTACTTTTCATAAACCGTTCAATAGAACACCCTGATTGAGATTAGCCACCTTTTCCTTCTCCTCAGCTTCTCTTATTCCTCCCCAGCTCCTGCTCCTGCTCCCATCAGAATGTGTGAAGCATTTTGAGACATCCTCCCAATGTGAAAGGTGCTTCATAAATGCACATCATTGTTGTTCAAATCAGCTAAGGAAACACAAACTGGGATTTGAACCTCATCCTCCAGCCAGTATGGCCCCAGAGCTGAACAAGGCTGTGGCTTTAGTAGCTAGGTCATTGGGAGATCCCATCTACCTATCCTCTACCTAGGTGGATGTTAAGCATCCCACAACGCTATTCAAAAAGAAAAGAGAATTTCTTCTGGTGTCTTGCCCAACAATCCTGCAGACGATTTGATCATTCATTTCACAGCTGTTTGTGGGACTTTGCTGTGTGCAAAATGGTTCCCATGTTTGCCTCCCAAAAAAGAGTGCTTACACTTGCTAATAGTTACAGGGAAGCTCTTTGACATGTTTGAACATGCAAGGTAACTTCATGATGCCACTAACTCTGGTTGTATTCCACTTTGCCCTTTTTAGACCACGACCTTTGCAAACTCTACTGTACAGCAGAGGATTTTGACTTCTTCTTTGCTCTCTCAAGCAAAGTCAAAGATGGGACGTCCTGTTCTGAGGAAAGGCCTGATGTGTGCATCGATGGTTTGTGTGAGGTAAAGATTGCTGGTATGAACACCCCTCTAGATTGTGTGAAGATTTGTGTTACCATGAGGTCCACTTCCCCCCCACCCCCTTCACTCAGGTTTGTGGATCATGAACAATCTGCGCAGGTTATGAAAGATGCAGATTATGCGCTTCAAAGTAAATGCTGAAATCTTTATACTCCATTCAACCTGCAGCAAACTTGATCTTAATTTCCCTGTATAAGGAAGGGCCATGTAATTTCTGATTTAGCAAAACCAAGTATCAATATATTGGGCTGGGAGTTGATACTCCAAACAGTTAAAACTGTGGTACCGGTACTGCTTGTATAAGTGGAATAATTGCCCCATTAGGGACAATTTTATGGAAAACAGAGTTATGAATTAAAATTACATTGTTTGATTGCATTCAAAAATGCATAACTTATGATAGTGCCCTGTATTCATAATGAATTGCTGTTATCAGGTATAGTCTGTAGGAGTTTGATAGCGAGGGGAGGGGAGAGGTAATCGCAAACTATTTCTAATCATTCTCTTTTAAACACTTATTAGCCATCACTTTTGATGTACTGAACTATGGGAGTTCTGTGATTTGAGTGTGGTGTCAGTATATCTCCAAGCCTTTCTGTGCTACCAGAAACTAGAAGAGAGAATTTTATAAGACATTTGTTCTTGATGTAGTTGTCACCGGATGCTTTCAGTTAGTTGTTCATAAAAAATGTTGTGAAGAGTTTTTGTTTTCCATTTGTTGGTGCAGTTTTCAACACACCTTCATTTGAGGGAACCTTTTGCTCCTTTATGTTGTGAGAAACCCCAAAGTAACACCACCGAGTTAAAGGTGATGATCTGAAACGGCTACATTGGTGATTGGATCTACAAACCAAGGGGTTGAAGTTTAATTGCTGTGATGGAACCCCAGCAGAGACATTACACTGTTCCACTCACTGACTTTAATGATTCCAATTCCACATTGATTTTGATCAAAACTATATGGACATCGGATTTGGGGAATCTGTCCATTGTGAAACCAGGGTTCCCTGTGTGTGTTTGTTTTTAATGCTCTTTTTGTTTCTTTCCCCACTCACAGGCTGTTGGATGTGATCGTGTGTTGGCCTCCAATGCTGTGCCAGATGCCTGTGGGGTCTGCAAAGGCAACAACTCGACTTGTAAAATTTACAAGGGCCAATACAGCAAACAGCATTATGTCAACCGTACGTTCTCATCTGTGAAGTATTTGTTCTGCATGTGATCTTACAAAGGCTGGTGCCTTTTGATTTAGATATAGCTTCCACAAATCTTTAGGAATAGGGAAAATCTATCGTTTGGGGGATGGGGACCCAGTGGAGCCGGGTGAGGATGAGGTGACAGGGAGCTTGATGAGGGAGATGACACATGCCGCAGAGTTCTGAATGATCAAAACTTTATATAAAAATATTCTACATGGTTTCCTAATGCCCTAATTTTTAACACATGTCCACTGATATTTGAACCTTTTGCATCTGCTGACTGTATAATGCTGAACATTGAGTGAATATTTCACATAGAAGATCATTGATAAGTTTGCTCAAAATAGTCACATAAATCTGAACACAGGCCATGTAATTTTTTTTATTAATTTAGATATTTAAAATACATATTTGCTGTAGTAATATAAACCTTTAACAGTTAAAGATGTAACTAAATTCATTTCATTTCTTTCAGAATACTACACAGTCGTTAATATTCCTGCTGGGGCACGAACCATTCGTGTGTATGAGCTAAACATCTCCACCGCTTATATTGCTATTAAAAACCAACATCAAAAGTACTACCTCAATGGCCATTGGACTTTAGACTGGCCTGGTCAGCACAGGTTTGCTGGTACAGTGTTCGACTACAAGAGACCATACAATCGACAGGAAAGCCTTTCTGCAGCAGGACCCACCAATGAAACCTTAGTAATCGAGGTAATAATACAGATGGTGTACAGCAGAGACTTGATCCTATTGTCTTCCCAGCACTGAGCAGGACTCAAATGTGCAACCACATGTAGGGAGTATCTCAAAGCAATCACAGTTGGACTGCTAGCTCAGATACTTTGTGGAGTGGAGGCATTAATATTTCAGTACTGTGGGAAAGCCTAGGAAGGGAAAGTTCAATAATGGGCCACTTTGGGAATCGCAAACTACATCATTGCAACATCGGGTTTGCAATTCATGATTTTGAAATTTTTTAAACAATGCCAACTTTAGAATCCCAAACATTTGCTCTTTGGGCTACCAAAAATTGCCTGAAATCAAAATGCCACCAAAATGCTTGCTCTGATTACAAACCAGATGTTACAATTAACACAACAAATCCAGTTTGTGAATATCACATTCTACACACATTGTCTCTGACAAATGCCTTCTATTAGATGAATGTAGAGTCACATTAGATGCATATTTACTAGACATTTTCTTTCCTATTTTCTCTGTTGTAGGACATCAGAAACTCATGGGGGGTGGCTTTCATTCATATATCTCCACTGTGAATGCTCTCTTGCCTCCAGACATAAAAGCATGACATTGAGAAGCATCCATTCACTATAAATCAAGGGACGGTGCATATTTGGACAATTAGTTGTCCTTATTTCTACTATTGTATTGCCTTTATGAGTAAATGGCACTAGTCTGATGGATTCCAATTCCAGATTGCAGTGGTTGGACTCACTGTATTAAATGGGGCTGTTTTTACTGTACCAATTCTTCTGTGGCTTGGAAACCCTGGAAGTAATCTTCATATGTATTTCAGCGAATGCTTATAACCGTTCCAAACCACAAGAGTAATGAGCCAAAAATAATTTACCCATTAATCTGAGATATTGCCCAAGTTCTAGTCGAGCAATTTTCACATGAGATGCTCAGAAATGAGAACAGACAGTAAAAGTGGTGCAATGTTATAAACTCATTAGGGTAAGTGAAATCAAGTCTTATGTGATGGTCAGACAAACTGCACTGCATGACTTCAGCTTATAACTTAATTAAGGAAACCTGGATTTGCCAATTTCAAAGCACTACATTGTCATTAGTACACTGGATTTGAAAATTGAATAATTGATGTTCCTCTAGGGAAAAAAAGGGTATAATGTTGACCTGAGATTATAGTGTTTGGAACAACGTAACTGCATACAGAACTGAAAGATGATAATCAAGATAATACTATACTTAATCAAAAACATGCTGGACTGTAGGATCCTCCTGAGAGCAAGGAACATGGAATATGGAAAGTACTGTAATGGGAGATTGCCAAGAACTATCATCATACAGTGCTGTTAATAGTCCGTAATGTGATTAGTAACACTCCTGTCAGAAGAAAAGTTCAATACAGCCAAGGGATAAAGCTGTTCTATTATGTCATCTTGTTTGGTTATTTTGGTTTGCTTGACAACCTCCATTTTCATAGATTTTGAGATAAGTTGGGCAGAGGAATCTAATGGAACTCCAAATCTTGGTGGGTGTTCATCATCTTTCAGGGAATCCTAGGATCCAAGTTTACTTCAATGAATTGTTCAAGTTTAAAAAGTTATTTTACAAGTATCATGCCTCTGAAAATACAAAAGAAAATCAGGGTGTGCTAAATACTATCTGTTTAGAGATAGTGAATGGCACATCGAGGGTTAATATAGTAACAATTGGATTGGTGCAAAACTGATGTCCTGCAATACTGGAATCTAAAGAATGAATATATTTTTTAAACAGTAGAATGTCATTCTGATTCCTCAGGAATTCACTGCAGATGTAATTGTACTTGACTGCTAGCTTGAGCAAGGGCTGACTGGAAGACACACAGGTATTCTGACACAACCTCCAGAATCAGATTTCTGTTTTCAAAATCCTATCTTAGGGTCAAGTCTTTTCAAAAATGTTGGAAATCCGTAGCAACTCAATTGATTGGTATCTGAAAGAATAAAATTAAGTTAAAACTTTAGGTATGCGACTTCTTCAGAACTATCTCCATTAGAGGCAATTTTTTTTATTATCCAAAATGTAAAATCTGAATTTTAATTGCAGTCTTGTGCAGCACAAGCTATGCGCTTGCAGAAACCTACATTATTCTTAGTGATTTAATCTGAAACTGAATTTACCTCCTCTGGTTTCACATATCACCCAGGCTGAGAGGTTTGAAATGCCTCCAAATTTAATTAAAATCTGTTTACATTTGTCAAAAAATTCAGTGTCTAGGCCTCCCTGATGGAAGTCTTTACCTTGCCTTCAAGAATGTAAACATTGATCCACACCAATTCCAAATTAGAAAAGGAAAGAACATTTCAAGAAAGTAATTCCAGCCCTTATCATAATCCTCTGGGCTCTATGCTGCAATCAGACACAGAGTAAAACTGAATGGGTTTGATCAATTAAATGGTGAGAGTGCAGTTTAACAAGTCCTCCACTCATTTAATAATAATAATAATCCTTGCATTTAATATAGCGCCTTATCAAGTCTTCGAGACATCTCAAAGCGCTTCACAGAATATACTGTAAAGTGAATTGACTGTATATTTTGTGAAATTATAGAGGTTTATCAGATTCTTTAATGGAAACAAGAGTAAATCAACACAGTGGAGCTCTGATCATTGACAGTCAGTGCTTCTGCATCATATTGTCACCAGTGATGTGGGCAGAAAGCAAGCCAGCTTCCCTCACTAAAAATGGTCAACTTCTGGTCGCCTTCAATGTCACTTCCCGCACATTGGCTGATATATGTCTGCCTCACAATACACAACCTAACCCACTCGCTCAAGCAAGCTCGGTCGTGCATTGTCGCTCCCTTCGCATGCCGAGAGTGGACACCAGGGATCCACTGTTTAAATGAATCCACATTAAAAAAGTGTGTTGTGATAGGGATCTGTTATACATTCAGATATAGCAAGGCAGCAGGATATAAGGGCTAGGTTTTTATTGGTGTATGTGAAGGGCAAATTTTTAACAGGTACCTGGAAATATTTACTTACACAGAAGAGAAACACAACAACTGTACATAGGTTACCAGGAAGGGTGCTTACTACCAAGACATTGTACTCAGTTAAAAAATAGTTTAATGTGCTAATGGGAAGACACCAGGGCTTGTTGTCCATGATGAAGGATGAAATCAAATGGACCAAAAGAATTTCTTAATCAAAATTTTTCTGGTAATCTCGTGTTTCAAATGAATGCACTCCGAGTTTGGAGTGAAACCTACTAAAGCGGTGAATATAATATAGTTTACATTGACATAGTGCCTTTCACATCGGGTGGGCATTTTTAAGGAGCAGTTTGCCTTAACTACTATTTTTAGTCAGTTAATGTTGGGCACTGTCCATAAAATGACTTGCTACCTTAAGAAATACAAGTCTGTTTCAGTGAAATAAAAGTGACTGGAGTGTTTTTACAAAATGTTCTTGCCTTTGTCTATTCACTGTGGCTTCTGGCATTCAAAGGCATTTTAACACCACTGTAAAACACTGCTGATCTGAGCGAAACTACAGACGTTCTGAATGGAAATAGTTAATTCATTTGTTGGCGACAATTTAATAAGGTCATTTGTTTGTCTAAGGCGCGGTGTGATTATTTTAACATATGAGAGAAGATGAGGTGATCAATACTTCTCCCACTTTGTCTTTTGTCTACCCAGATTCTACTTCAGGGCAAAAATCCAGGGATCGGATGGGAATATGCTTTGCCAAAATCGGAGCTGGAGAACAAACCATCTCTGAAACATAATTACACATGGGCCATTATACGCTCTGAATGCTCAGTCTCTTGTGGAGGAGGTAATGTGCCCTTGTACGAACCCTTAACGTGGGAATTTGCAGCATTCTTTGGTGGAAGTTTCCTTTCATTGGTTAGTGGAAGATTTGACTTGTACACATTCTTGCCAAGCGGAGCTGTTATTATCAATTACATTTTAGGATGAGTGGGATTAGCTGGTGCCCCAAGGCTGGACAGACCAAAAAGGAAAAAGGCTGAATAAACAGGGTGGGGATTTTTTTAAAAGTAGCTACTCCTGAGGACAATGGCCATATGTTTCAGCTTATGCAACAATATCCTTCAGGTTTTCCCTCATTTGAGTGTTTCATGTCTTGCTTTTCCTTCCCCTGGAAATAACCCAACTCTTAGATACTTTTTTGACTATATTTTACTGCATGCTTAAGTCTGTCATGTCTGAACTCTTTAACATCCACAAAGATCCCATCATCTTATCAATGGATTTGATATAAAATGCACTGCTTGGCCTGCTTTTATACATGCTTCGATTTTCCCCATCAGAGGTTATGATTTGGCAAAGCTCCAGGGCTTGCTTTATCCTCTTTTATCTTACAATATCTGAGATGGAAGGTACATGAATTACACTTGGCTTTGAAAGCATAAAAGTATAATGTTCTCGATTTTATGGGGGCAAATGCAATTCTGTTCATACATGGGCAATTTCACAAATACTCCTTTGGTTTTATTTCTCAGTCTCTGTCCATTCCCTTTCCTTCCTCCCATTTCTCTCGTTCCCGCTCTCTGTCTCTCTTCCCCTCTCAAGGAGGACATAAGCTAGAGCTCTTTGAAAAGGCAATTAGTTAGATGTTTGAAAAAAAGAGTTTGGAGAGTTATCAAAAGAGAGGGATTAGATGAGTGGCTCAACTGAAGAATATACAGTCAATTCACTTTACAATGTATTCTGTGAAGTGCTTTGAGACGTCTCGAAGGGATGATAAGACACTATATCAAATGCAAAGATTATTATTATTATGAACACCACTAAAGACTTGATGGACCAAACGGCAGATTTCTGTGCTGTAGCTTTCTAGCGTTTCTTTGATTCTGTTGGCTAATTCATATGACTATGTGCAGGGATCATTACCACTAATGGGGATCGTTGGCATGGCCTCTGAAATCCTTGTGAATTTGTTGAAATGTATTAGTTTTGTGGGGGGGAGACAATTTAAAGCTGGAGCATAGTCCATACTTTAAACAGATTTACAACTTGTGGGAAGAATATGAATCCTTTTGCACATGTTGAGAGGGATTGTTAGAGGATATAAATGCATGCCTCAACTTCACATTTCACATTAATTCTTCACCCACCCCACCCCCTTCCACTCACCATAACCCATTTACTTGTTTGAGTTGTAAGGAAGGCATATAAATGTAGTAAATCTTGTTCTGTGCTGTGAAACGTGGGAAAAGTAAGGCTCTCTTATCCAGGCAGTTGTGGGATGGGGGTGGGGTTAGGCACAGAATTTGTGAAATATTCTTGGGTGAGTTTAGGAAGAGTTAGTTATCATTTATGTCAAATGTTTTCCTTACAAATAATAAAATGAGGACATGAGATTCTAAAGGGAAACCAATGAAAATCCCATCTCCTAATAGCTGTGTTTGAATGTGTGATGCAGCCAACCCGCCTGGATAAATGATGTCAGCATAAAGAAGTTATCTTTCTGGTGAACCTGCTGTATGGATTTCAAAAAGGAAGGTCGTGCTTGACCAACCTCATTGAATTCTTTGAAGAGGTAACAGAAAGAGTAGACAAGGGTAATGCAGTAGAAGTAATATATTGGGATTTGCAAAAGCGTTCGATAAGGTACCGCATAATAGACTAATGAATAAGGTCAGAGCATATGAATCAGAGGAAAAGGAGCAGAATTGATAGCAAGCTAGCTACAAGACAGAAAATAGAGAGTATGGGTAAAGGGTAGTTACTCAGACTGGTGGTGTTCACAATTTACTGGTGTTCACAAGTTACATTAACGATTTGGACTCAGGGATCGAAGATACAATTTCAAAATTTGCGGATGATACCAAATTGGGGGGGTGTGGTTAATACTGAGGAGGATTGCAACAAGTTACAAGACATTAATAAACTTGCTGAATGGGCATTCAATTGGCAAACTGATTTCAATATAGATAAGTGAGGGGCTACATTTTGGTAAGAGGAATGAGGAGGTCACATACTGCCTGGAAAATAAGAATTTAAATGGGGTAGAGGCGCAAAGGGATCTAGGGGTACAGATATACAAATCGCTAAAACTAGCGACGCAGGTTAATAAGGCCATAAAGAAAAGTAAACCAAGCGTTGGAGTTCATTTCTAAAGGGATAGGAATAACAGCAGAGAGGTTATGCTCAACTTATATCGAACCTTAGTTAGACCAGACTTGGAGCACTGTGTACAGTTCTGGTCCTCATATTATAGAAAGGATATAGAGGCACTGGAGAAGGTGCAAAGGAGATTTACAAGGATGATACTGGAACTACAAGGTTATATCTATCAGGAAAGGCTGAATAAGCTTGGACTCTTTTCTCTCGAAAAGAGAAGGGTAAGGGATGACCTAATAAAGGTCTTTAAAATGATGAAAGGTTTTGATAGGGTAGACATAGGGAAGTTGGCTCCACTTGTGAAGGAGACCAAAACCAAAGGCCATAAATATAAAATAGTCACCAATAAATCAAATAGGGAAGTTAGAAGAAAACTTCTTTACCCGGCGAGTGGTGGGAATGTGAAATTTGCTACCACAAGTGGTAGTTGAGGCAAATAGCATAGATGCATTTAAGGGGAAGCTAGATAAGTACATGAGGGAGAAAGGAATAGAAGGCTTAGTTGAGGAAGAGCAGGCGGAGGCTCATGTGGAGCATAAACGCTGGCATAGACCAATTGGGCCGAATGTCCTGTTCCTGTTCTGTACATTGTATGTAATTTTAGCTGCTTTAGAGCTCCAGTACATCTCCTGTTCTTTATATTTTTAAATGAGTGTTTCAATTTATCCTATGGAAAGAATATTATGATTTGTTTACTACCAGTAGTAAATCAGTGATTTCTTGTTCAGCTCACTTACATAGCTCCAGTTGTAACGATTCAAAATTCTCGAAAAGGATTATTATGATGTATGTTAAAAATCCAAAACTTGGAAGTAGCGCAGATGCATTTTCACAGTAGCTTTTGCACACAGACTATTACAGGTCCAGCTCACATTCTGCTGGCAAGCAGCTGTTTCCCAGTTCTGGTTTCTAATTCTTATATTGCGGTTGCAGCTGGCAAAGCCAAACAGAAGCAGTACGTGAACGTATGCAAACATGTGAACAGATATAGTGTTCAGGTGGTCCTGTTTTTCAAAGCAGAATAATGACCCAACCATAGGTCTTGCATTGTTAGGCATTGGTGCAATTGTGATGTTTGAAAACCTTATGTTGTGAATCTGAGTGCTTCCAGACCCTAAACAGGCTGTGAATCTCAAGTCTTTTTTAATGTTTTATTGGAATACATAATGAGCACGCCACTTTTATTATTGCCTTCAGAGGCTCAGAGTGAAAGAAGAAAAACCCATGCCTTTTACCAGATAATCATAATATTACCAGATAATCCATTTATATATTTCACTCACTGTCTCCAACTATTTCCTTTCCTGACCTGAAGGTACAAACTCTTGCTAAGGTGCAGGCACACCAGTTCTTGTTGAGCTCACTCCTATGCCTTTTTCAAGAGATTAGTCTTAGTATATGAGCCTAAGTAACATGAGTTGCTAAGCTGTCAACGATAGGCATCACAGCCAAACCTGATTTTGTCCTCATCCAGCATACATAATTCTTCCACTGTGGGTCACAGGACAATAGCCAGGAGTGGGAATTCTGACTGCCCCCCCCCCCCACCTCAAGCCCAGGAATGTAGAAATCCAGATATTTCCAATTTCCCATTTATAGTGTCCCTACTACTGCCCCAGTTGAGATTATTTTACTCAGCACAGACCAGGGATTTGATTTTCAAAGCTTCCATGACTGGATGACTCAGTCTCACAAAAGGCATTGTCTTCATTATGGGAGAACTCTATATATTAGATGCCATGCATTCGTACAGAGAGGAATAAACCCTATGTGGTTGTTATTCTCACTATTCATGGTCTGGCATTCTCTGTAACATTGCAACTCATTTTCTCTTTCTCTCTCTTTGTCCCTCTTTGTGTTCTATAGCTCACTAAATAATGCTTAGAGTCAGTTCCTGTTGCACCTTCTGTCATTTCTTAATTTTACGTACAGAACAATTACTTATTCATGTTGTGCCTTACGGCTAAAAGAATATCACAAAACACTAAACCATATAAACTCCACGCCCAGTGGCTTCTACCTCTTTTCTATCTATAAAGGACTAAACAGCAGTCTCTTATATTTTGGACATGTTTTGGTACTTGTCAAGGTGATGGACTTTTGTCATGAGAAATGGAAAACATCTATATTTTAGATCCTCAGTAATAAACACTCCCAGATCAGGAATCACATGCTTTAGTACAGAATTTTTTTCTGTTTATTTTCCTGTGTCCTAATTATTGAGGACTTTTATATTGGTTTTCGGGGACCACATTTTTATTGATAGTTATTTCAAATCTCCTGTATGTTGACCGTAAAAAGAAAATAATGGGTTTTACAGGATTTGTTCACAATTCTGTCCTAATAACGTCCACATTGGGATTTTGTTTCTGGGTTCCAACTGGGACCAGTGCAATAGATGGTAATATTGTTTTGAAATGTAACCTATGATGCGTTAATCAATTTTTACTGGAACATTTCACATTGTAAATGATTCAGAACAGCTGTTGGCACTCACTGGCTCAGAAAATAAATGAGATTTAGTTGGATTGTAGTACAGGAATTTTATTGCAGAGGAAGCAAAGGATTCTGTTTTGTTTTGTAAGAATGAGAGAAAGGCCAGATCTTAAGATAATAGATTCTATTATAAATCATTATCCCATTCGTCACCGATTGGAGTCTTGGCTTAGTTCCTAATTCAACGCTCCT